GCGAGAATCAAAGAATTACATTTCTTTGCCTACAAATAACACATTAAATTCAAGGAACATGTTTTCAACAACAAATCGGTACAATCATCCTCACACAACTATACTAACACACGAAACTGTAATATAATACCTACAAATGTTTTATAAAATAAATGTGCTTACCAATTTTATTTTTGAAAGGAATTGTTATAGTGAATTGAGAATGAACTAAGGATTTGAAGACCACCCAAATTATTATTAAATTCATAATTGAATCCATATTTAAAACTAATATTGTTAGTTCAGAGAAAAAGAAAAATAAAACTAGCAATGCATTTAAAAAAATCCTACTTTTTTCAATGATCTAGCTAGATTATTACTTTACCGCCCAAATTTTTCCTGCCTATTATATCAATCAAACAAAACTAGTTTATTTATGTACTTTTTTTGTACACGTTTTATTTTGACTAGTTTAAGTTACATTTGAGCTCAGTTTAGTTTGTACCTATGTGAAAAGTAGATATTGTATGTTATATTATTTATAGTATTTTATTTTGCCTATGGAAAATAAAAATGGTCTTTTAGGAGTCCAAATAAGATACTAATTTCAAAAATAGGTACTAATTCAAATGGAATAATGATATTAATGTCGATTCTGGCATGATTCTCTAAAGCTAAACTTAAATTTGACAAGTTTAGAGAATTCTGCCAGAATCGACACCATTTACTCTCAGCTGACGGTGACAGAATCAGACTAGTACTTTTTGAAGTAATTACACTTAGAAACCCTAAATAACATTCAAATCACTTTACAGGTTGAAGGTAATACTAACTCTTTATAGTTTTGAAATGTTATTTAGAAAACCAGAGTTCCACACAAAAATACGAATTGTTAATGTATGATATCAATTTAGTATAGTTATAAAATAATTTATAAATAGTGCTGCATCTTATGAACTACGCATGTAATGGATTGAAATAAAGCGGATTGTGACTGATTCGAGAAAACTAGTGCGTTCGTAGGTAGCGTTTATTTTTATTAGAAATATTAGAGTTTATACAGTAATGGGACTCTTGTAACTTTTTGTTTGAAACTTACTTAAAGTTTTTAATAACAACAGAAATTTGTATTGACATATTATCGTCTCTTCTGAAATACATACTTTAAAAAATAAAAGTATAGTATAGAAACGGTTGTAATACAACGCAAGTATTTTTAAAACAAAATAACTCCATTACTAACAAAAAGTTCCAAGCGGTCAGTTATTAGTTCCAATAGAATTATAGAACTAAACTAGTTTACAAGGTTTGTTAGTCAAAAAATGTATTGTATGATCTATTTAGTTAAGTTTACTACACACTTTAATTTTGGTACAAATTCTGGATAATCATTACAATAATTTGTTTTTCAAAATGATGAAATGTTTTTTATCTACCTATTGACTAGTTCACGTTCAAATCATATCACCCACATCAGAAATATATTTTATACTGCGCATTGAAGTAATAGACCACTGGTGTCAATTCTGACAGGATTCTCTAAACCTAAAGTTAAATTTGACAACAGTGTATTCTTGTCATTTTCTATACAGAATGAAAAGGAGAGACTTGTGTTAAATTTAGTTTTAAGTTTAGAGAATCATGCTAGAATCGATACCACATAGTGTTTAAATAAACTTTTTCAAAGAATTACTTCGTCGAGAACGACCGTTCTTAACTTTGCGCGGGAACTAGTTTCAACGGTTATTGTTAACTCGTCACCTTTTGCAGACGTATCTTAATGAGATAAATGTGCTTACTGATATATCTGATGAACTTATTTTGTTTAAGCTCATCATATAACTTTGTAGAACTTTAAATATATACCTACGTTTCTCTACACCTACTACTATAATATATACATTATAAGTAATATTTTTAAAACCTTAATATGTGTGGCATTTATAAATGACATAATATATTATGATATTTTACAACCCCGACTGTTCTTTGTTGTATATGTATATAACTGTCTATAAAAATAAAATTGTTGTGAATATTGAACACCACTAAATATTTTATGTGTTCTTGTTATCTTAAATCCTATTTAATAAGATATTGAACATGTCTTTTAATATCAAATTATATTATCATATAACTGTCTCGATTCTGGCATGATTCTATAAACAAAATACGAAATTTTACATCACTCTCTCCTTATCATTCTGTATAGAGAATGACAAGGACACACTATCGTCAAACTTAAGTTTAGGTTTAGGGAATCATGCCAAACTCGACACTAATGTGTGTGTAAATTAGAATGTACCTTTGAAATACTGACGAGCCTTATGATAAGAAAGCAAGTGGTAATTAGTCAGTCAAAAACCAGAAATACTAAACATGGAAATATCAAAAACTAGTTTGCTCTCTACAACTAGTGGAAACTAGTTTTTTATGTAAGTACATATATCCAGGCTTATTTAAGCTAGACTTCTGAATATTTCAAAAATGACTTGTTAGATAACAAGATATTTATGGCCTGTGTTTTCGGGCATACATCTAAGAATGTGCCTTTATTGAACGTAACGATTTAAATTCTCGGAATTAGATCAGCAGCGGCTGGCATTTATCACAAAAAAATATAAGTGATATAATAATGCGTACATTCTAATTTTCAACATCAAGTGTTAATTAATAAATAGGTAAATTGTGAACGTCTCGAGTGAAAGGGTAGGTGTGTAAAATTTTCAGATTGACTGAAAATAATAAAGAAGATAAGTTGAAAATAAAATTTTATTTGTTTAAATACTTAGTACTTAAATTATATCGACGTCAAAGCACGTCTTGAAATAAAGTCTAGTTTAAAAAATATTAATTGTTGCCCCAACAAAAACAATTCGAAAAGTTATGTTTTTTTTTCTTATATGATTGAGGCTGAGAAACTACTAAATCTTAATTCCTTTAGTGGAACTACACTTTTCTTTCCATATCTATGCTATATCCAGTGTTGTTTTATTTCACTTTATACTATGTTTTATCAATAAAATTGTAGCCATAGTTTTGGGGGTGTATGGGACGTGAATTAAGTATTGTAAATAGTAATTTTGTCGCTGTCTCGATACGTCCACGTTACATCTGATAGTAAATCAGTTCTTCATGTTTCTATGTGTTTCATTTGACTCCCACCTTTGCACTTGAAAATGATGTCAAAGCTTAGATTAAAACAAAAAGGGAAGATACAGTACGCTCATACTAGTATCAAATAAAATATGATCCGACTCAAATACATAAACAACTCTCATTCACGCACACGTCTGTATATTAATATTCAATCGAACGAGTGAGACAGAACTACGCTTCAACGCAGCGCGAGCGAAACGGCGAGTCCGCTTCCGAGTCCGTACGGCTGAGCTGTAATTGTTTTGTACTTTTCTTGATAACAAAATGGCGACTAAGTGAATAACATTCACGACAAACCGTGATTTTAGAGAAAAAATGTTTTTATTTTTATAGTTTTACGTATGAAAAGAGTTGCCATGGCATTTGTTATTTGATTTTAACTATTTCTGTTCATTATAAAAGCATCGCAGGCATTCTTTTATTTTTATAACACAGAATAGTCATATTGAGTGCACATGCAGCGTTTTTGAATGTCCAATTGTGGTTAAAGCGAATTGTGGTCATGGACCACTTCACTCAATCTCCACTCAATTTAAGCGGATCACTTTTGAGCAGCGAGTGCCGTATCTTCCCTTTTTGTTTTAATGTAAGTGTCAAAGGTACAATACCCGCCACGAAAGATGAGACTTGGCACATCACGGTATGAGGCCTGAGGCGGGAAGGGACCGGATGTCCTTAAGGTGGCTGAAAAAGCGTGGAAGGCGTGACACAGCGCTCGTTCGTGTGAGCAAATGCTCATAACTTATTGCGTCGTTGCTCTCGGGTGTGAGAGCCGCTTGGGTCGATTGTTTGATGTCGCTCCGTTTGGAAACTCGGTTGGGATTGGAGTAGGTAATATTCGATTTTGCAGCAAGCAGTAATGTTTTTAAAGTGAAACTTTTATTACACCGACTAAAAAGCTTCAAACAGTTCTTCCTCAATTGCCGGAATCGGTTTTGTGGGATCCGGAGAATCTCCACGGGAAGCACTTGGGCATCCCCTTCCACGGGTGAGACCGTGGAGCCCTGTCTGCCCCCAGCTTATCTACAGTCAATGGTTAATTAATAAAATTAAGTACATAGATTTATAATTTGTCAGTAAAAAATCAATTAAATTCTAATAGGTTTTGTAAATTAAGATTTATTTTTTTTCGATACAAATTAATATCCTTATCTTTTATTTTTAAGATCGTCTAATTATATACTAGATGTGCCCCGCGGTGTTAACCGCGGTTATTTAGGTATATTTTCAATAACTCCGATCCAACTCTTTACAACTAAACTGAATAGATACTGAGTTTCTCTATGGTCGGTCTAGAGATCGGGAAAATCAAACATTAATTATTTTCAATTATCGCGATTTATAAAAAGGTTATCTTTTGAACTCTCGCATCTTATGAATCAGTATATAAATATAAAGTGACTGAATACTATAAACAGTTATAATGTAGTTTACTGAAAAATGCGCCTCCTTATATCCAGCGCCTTGGGCGGTTGCCTCGCCGCTGCTGTCGCTACAAACACGTTGTGAAACGATGATACGCGCCAATCTACGAGTAGAGCAAGGTGGCGAGGAATTGCAAGACAAAATACATCTGCCCCCTATCAGATGATTCATCATGATCACGACCTCTCTGACAAGAGTGAAACGAGCGAGAAAAAGAAATTAAAAAAAACGTTTGTCACTTTTTCACAATTAGAATTTATTAGAAGCGCCTAAAAGATGAAAATGGAATAGAAATGAAAAAGTTTTATAAATAAGTTCACGCCAGCGCTTTATGTATTTTACTATCTTGGCGTTCGTTCCTGTTACAAGAATTTTACGAAAAGGAAACTGATAATGTCAAAACTGACATTGACACTGACACATAAATGTTTACGAACTTTGCGTTGCGTGTTCGTTCAATTGTATTTTATTTGGGATAAATATTTTTTATTATTAAATAATTAAAAAGTTTAGTAAGAATAGTTATAAATTAAAATAATGTCCCATTCACCACATGTTGTTGATGGCGAGGCATCCGAATCGGACACAGAAGCAGAAATCGGAAAAACTTCTGTAAGTTATTCTTTTATAATTGTTAAATTATTCAATACTAGACTAAAAAGGAGAATAAAAAGTTTCACACATTGATAAAGACAATACTTATAAAGTATAACCGCATTTATATTGTTATGACACTGAAAATGTTAATAAAGATTGAAAACTTTTTCTTGTTTAGGATTCAAACGCAGATACATTTGTGATAACAGGCGAAGCCTCTGAATCCGACGATGAGGGTGAGTATATCTTTATATTAATTTGTTATCATTAATATAAAAAAATAAAAGAAGTAATATTTTATTTTAAACAAGTAATTGCCCAATTTATAAACTTAACTCCTTTAGCAAATTTATAAAGACCAACAGATATTATTAGTTCTTTTTGTTTGCATGATTTAACATAAGAAGGAGATAGAAAGCCTCACTGAGTTTGTTTCGCTGGTTCTTCTCAGAAAGGTCTCCCAATTTACCAGAACCGGTGGTAGTTTACAATAGTTAGGGTCAAATAAAAAAAACTCAAAATTATAAAAAAGTATTAAATAACATACTTTATTAATTAAATTAGCTAATAAATTCAAGCATAGACAATAAAGTTTTAAAAATCTTCCAATGAAAATATTGGAGAGCTCAATAAAAGTCTTTCGAAGGTAGCTTGACAAAGTAAATAAAAAAAAACATTATTCCGATGACGCATTCCTGCAAAGGATGCGAAACATGAATAAATAAATAAAATCATTGAAACTTGTTTATTCAATGAGTGAGGTGCGTGAAAACCTAAGAAATAGACTGATTAATTAATCTCTTGCATCCATTTTATTTCAGAATCCAGAAGGCCATGCCCTGAACCGCTAACAAACCTGGATGTGCCTCTCAACCCAGCATTGGCACAACCAAACAGCCCTTCAAGAATCTACACATCACTGCTCCATCAGAAGCTTTGTATGTCTATATTGCTAATTGTTTTGACTGAAATTTGCCCGTTTAATACTTCTGTTAGAGTCATTGGTGTCGATTCTGACACAATTCTCTAAACTTAAAACTAAATTTAACATTAGTCTCTCCTTTCCATTCTGAGATTTCTCCTTAGAGAATCACAAGGATACACTGTTGTCAAATTTAAGTTTAGATTTAGAGAATCGTGCCAGAATCGACACCATTGTATACTTGTTATTCTCTAAACAGAATGAAAAAGCGGGACTGATATTTAATTTAGTTTTCAGTTTAGAGAATCATGGCAGGATAGACACGATTGTGTGTGTGCCACAAACTCAATGGTATAATATACACTGTGAATTTGGAGTTATCTAAGACTCTACTCTTCCGGTCTCCGTTTCCGGCTGTCGAACAATTCGCTGCGTAACGAGAGCTCTCACAATTTTAATTCCAAAAAGTGTACAAAACGCACCATACGATACGACATACCGCGAATTCGCACATTGAAACCACAAGAAATCGAAAAACACAGTTGTCCTAGCTAAAAAAGAAGAGAGAAGACTTAAAACCAAGGAAGAAATCACGGTGTTTTTTATGAGGTTAGAATCCATTTTGACTTTTAAGCGAAACATAGTTGACACTTGGTACTTGTCAGTTACATACTTTTGACAACTTGTCAAAGTAAGTGTTGCCATAACGTTAAAAAGAAAAATCTTTGGTAGTTTTTTTTAATACAATGGATCCTCAATTTCAATTACTTTGGAATAAAATGAAAGAGGAAATAAGCCAACAAAGAGCTGTTATAAACCAAAATATGATTGCAACCATGGATGAGAAACTAAAACCTCTTGTAGATGACTTAGTGGGACTGAAACTAGAAGTAGAAACATTGAAGACAAAAACACAATATTTAGAAAGACAAGCAAGGAAAAATAATCTTATCATTCATGGCGTCCAAGAAACTGAAACTAATTTCCCTGACCTACTGAACTGCATTATCTCATCTCTGAATGTAGTCAGTGAGAAAGCAGGCATAGAATCTTGGGACAAATGGGAGATAAATAACATACAAAGAATCGGAAAGAAAACTGATGGTAAAACGCGGCCCATATGCATGACGCTCACCTTGTACTGGCGAAAAATGGAACTTCTGAAAAATAAAAAACATCTACCAAAAAATATATATGTAACAGAGGATTATCCTAAAGAAGTACTTCTAAAGAGGAAAGAATTAAAAACTCAACTAAAAGAAGAACTAGACAAGGGCAACGAGGGATATATTATTTACGATCGACTAATTGTAAAAGAAAAAAAAGAAAAAAGGAAGCGGTCGCCGACAGAGTCACCAATTGCATCAAACGACGAGAAAACAAAAAACACCAACAAGACTAAAATGAGCAGAGTCAACTATTTCGACAAAGCGAGATCATTCTCCTTCAGCGGAACCAGCAGCGCGAACTAGCAATTAAGTAACACCAGCACCGAACGGAAAACCAAAAATTTACAAACAGAAAACAACACAACAACAAGGAAAAGTCCCAATCAGGCTGGTCACCTTGGGACGTTAGACCACCACCCTCTAGAAAATAAACAACAAACAGGAAAGACATTAAAACCTAAACTTTTACTAAACCCAACAATAAGAAAAGATAAAAATAAACTATTCATAGCAACCCTAAATACAAGGACACTCAGAACAGATGATAGACTAGTAGAACTCGAATATGCATTACAAGGAATAAACTGGGATGTAATAGGTCTGAGCGAAGTACGACGACTAGGAGAAGAAGTGAGAGCACATGAAGATTACCTGTTCTACTACAAAGGAGAAACAAAGGGGCTACACGGTGTAGGTTTTATCGTTAAAAAGCATCTCAAAGAAGCAATTACACAATTCAGAAGCAAATCGGAAAGAATTGCTATTTTGGACTTGACTATCCAAGATGGAAAAGAGCCATGGTCCATCATACAAGTATATGCGCCCACAGAGAATGCAAACGAAGAAGACAAGAACTTATTCTATACATCACTACAAGATACTATTGAAGAAACTAATAAAAATAAGATTATATTGGGAGACTTCAACAGCCAGATAGGTAGCCAACAAAATGGAGAAACTAACATCATTGGACTCTACAGTCAAGGTAGGCGAAATAAAAATGGACAAAAACTCATCGATCTTGCCCTTGAAAACAATTTAAGGATAATGAATTCCTACTATAAGAAAAAAAGAAGCAGGAAATGGACTTGGATTTCACCTGATGGGAAAACCAAAAATGAAATTGATTTCGTATTAACCAACACACCGGGATTATTCAATGATGTAGGCATAGTGAATAACCTAAACTTCAGCACAAACCATAGAATGGTTAGAGCTACCTTGGAAATTACAAACAAAAAACGAACTAGGAAATACATAAAAAACAGATCAGATCAGATAGCAACTCCAATATCAGAAAACATCCTTAATAAAGTAAAAAGTCAGATGGATAAAATTAAAAATAGCGATTTAATTCAAGAAAAATATAACACATTCGAAAAAATATTAACTAATCTAGGAAACGAATTGAGACACATGAGTAAGTTAAACAAAATGGACAAAATAGGACATACAGCAAGAACCCTAATAAAAGAAAGAGGAGAAATGCTTGCAGACAGGAAAAAGAACATTAAAAAGATAGAAGCAATAAGTAAAAAGATCACATCAAGTATAAGAGACCATAAAAAGGAAGTACGTTTCAACAGCATTCAATCTGAAATCGAGAAAACAGGAGGAATCAAAAGAGTAATGAAGAAACTTAAGGATCACTCATTTTGGATACCGAAAATGAAGGGAAAAAACAAAGAAAACAAAGAATTTACAACTACAAACAGAACATCAATCAGCAAAATCGCTACGAACTTCTACAAAAGCCTTTATAGTTCATCCGAACTATCAGTAACAATAGAAAATCTAAACAAAGAAGAAGTCCCTTACATACTAGAAAGCGAAACGAGACAAGCCATACTATCACAAAAGAACGACAAAGCTCCAGGAGAAGATAAAATAAATAATGAAATGCTTAAAGCGTCATTGAGTACTATACTAAAAACACTTACTAGTCTATTTAACGAAATCTTAGATAGTGAAATTATTCCGGAACAATGGACAAAATCAACTATAATATTGATTCACAAAAAGGGCGATAAAGACAAAATAGATAACTATAGACCCATTAGCCTCATGACAAACTTGTACAAAGTTTTTTCGAAAATTATTTTAGGCAGGCTCACCAAACGACTAGACGCGGAACAACCAAGAGAACAGGCAGGCTTCAGAGCAGATTTTTCAACGGTAGACCACATACATGTCGTAAAACAAATAATAGAAAAGTACAATGAGTACAGGAAACCATATTATATTTCCTTTGTAGACTATAATAAGGCATTTGATTCGCTATCTCATAACTACATATATAAAGCTTTGTTCAATCAAGGAATAGAAAATAAGTATATTAGACTCATAAAGAATATATACAGCAACAACACGGCAAAAGTACAATTAGAAAAAATTGGAGAGGAATTTAAAGTCCAAAAAGGAGTCAGACAAGGGGATCCTCTATCTCCCAAGCTTTTTTCAGCTGTGCTAGAGGAAATTTTCAGAAAATTAGATTGGGAAAAGAGGGGACTAAATATTAATGGATGTAGGCTGTCACACCTGCGATTTGCGGACGACTTGATACTGTTTGCGGAGGACACTAAATATTAATGGATGTAGGCTGTCACACCTGCGATTTGCGGACGACTTGATACTGTTTGCGGAGGACCCAGTCACTCTACAAGAAATGCTCTTACAACTTGCAACAGAAAGTCAAAAAGCAGGTCTGACCATGAACACAAATAAAACAAAGATCATGACCAATAGACATCAACAAAAAATCTGTGTCAATAATCATGACATTGAGTATGTGAATGACTACACATATTTAGGCCAAATAATTTCACCAAACTCGCAGATGGACAAAGAGTTGCAAACACGAGTAAACAACACCTGGGCTCGTTACTGGTCGCTGAAGGAAATATTGAAGAATAAGAACACTCCAATGCCAATCAAACGTAAAGTATTCAACATGTGCATCCTACCAATACTTACCTACGGGTGTCAAACTTGGGGCCTGACAAAGGCGCACAGTCAAAAACTCAAGGTATGTCAGCAAGGGATAGAGAGAAGCATGCTGCACATCCGTTTAAAAGACAAGTGGAGACTGAGCAGAATTAGAAAAATCACAGGTGTGGCAGATGTTTCCAAGAAAATAAGGAGACTTAAATGGCGTTGGATTGGACATGTGATCAGATCCCCCAAAGAAAAATGGACCAAAGAGGTCGTATCTTGGTACCCCAGAGATGGGAGGAGGACAAGAGGGCGGCCACAGAGAAGATGGGAGGATGACCTACCACAAGGATGGCGCAGATTAGAAAGAATTATTCTGGAACAATTGATGCCTCATTTCAACCTTAATAAACTTTTGCATAGGAAACAATTTGGTTTTACTAGAGGTAGATCTACTACTGATGCGGGTGTTGCACTTGTAAGGAGTATATTGGAGGCTTGGGAGAGGTCGCAGAATGTCCTTGGAGTGTTCTGCGACTTATCCAAAGCTTTTGATTGCGTTGATCATCACACGCTGTTATTGAAATTGAGTCATTATGGAGTCAAAGGTACTGCATATAAATTGATACAGTCGTACCTCAGTTCCAGAATACAAACTGTAGAGGTAAATGGTGTTAGATCATCTGGATCTCATGTGGAAATGGGCGTTCCCCAGGGTTCAATTTTAGGTCCCTTCCTGTTTCTAATATATGTAAATGATTTGCCATTTTTTGTGGAAAATTTGTGTGAGATTGTATTATTTGCTGATGACACATCTTTATTATTTAACGTTGACAGGCGCAAAAACAACTATGACGATGTAAATAATGCTCTCTCTCAAGTTCTGCAATGGTTTAATGTCAATAATCTAAAGCTAAATGCTAATAAAACCAAGTGTATTCAATTTTCCTTACCTAATGTAAAAGTTGAGCATATTGGAATTAAATTAAATAATGAAAAATTAGATTTAGTAGACTCGACTACATTCTTGGGTATAACGATAGACTCAAAACTGCAATGGAGTCATCACATTACGCTTTTGGCTGGTAAACTTAGTTCAGCAGCTTATGCCGTAAGAAAGATAAGACAACTTACTGATATAGATACTGCCAGGACTGTATATTTTAGTTACTTTCATAGTATCTTATCATACGGCATTTTACTCTGGGGAACAGCAGCTGATATTGAAAGTATTTTCATTTTACAAAAAAGAGCAGTGAGATCTATTTATCAATTGAGTAGCCGAACATCTCTTAGAGAAAAATTTAAAAAAATTGGCATTTTGACTGTTGCTTCTCAATTCATTTACAATTGCATACTCCTCGTTAAAAATAATATCAATTTGTATACCAAACACAGTAACGTACACAATTTTAATACTAGGAATAGAAACAAGCTTGCATTGCCAGCCTACAGGTTACAGAAGCTTTACCGATCTTTTATGGGTCAAGGTATACATTTTTACAATAAAATTCCTGATGCTGTTCTTGAGTTACCCATAAATGAGTTCAAATGTCACATTAAAAGTTGTTTAGTTAAGAAAGGCTATTATACTATTAAAGAATACTTGAATGACAAAACTGTATGGCTGTAACTGCAAAATTGTTTTGTATTTGTTTGCAGTGTCGTACAGATAAATTACCTTAACTCTAAGTAACCATTTTGCAGATTGGTTTTAGTGGTTATGGGTAGTCATGCTCTCTTAAAAATCTCTTCGGCGGTGTCGTGTGAGGCGGGTCGTTGCGTTCCCTAAAATATGGTTGAGCGAAGCGATGGCTGGTTCATGCGTCATACTCGTGAACGGGTGCTGCCAGCGGAGATGAGTCTGCTCTATACTACTTTATTATTGTAATGATAATTATTATTAATTTTTGATTGTATTTTACATTACACAACTTGTATTTATACTGTGTGACACAGCAATCAAAATGTAAGTGAACATATATTATTTCTCTGATAAAGATTTAATGGCGGTGTGGATTCTGGTATGTTTTTCTAGACCTGAACTTGGTTTTGCAGTGGTGTATCCTTGTCATTCTCTATACAGACTGAAAGGGGGGGACTGATGTTTGATTGGTTTTGGGTTGGAAGAGTATTGCCAGGGTCGACAACAGTGTTTAGGTAATCACATGCATGTGTCCTGCCGTTGTGTTTATAGTTTGTTATAATAATGTACACTGGTACCTATATGTATTTTTTTTTTCTATTTTAGTAACATAGTATCCATGTGTGGTTATGAGTAGTCATGCTCTCTTAAAAATCTCTTCGGTGGTGTCGTGTGAGGCGGGTCGCTGCGTTCCCTAAAAAATGGTTGAGCGAAGCGATGGCTGGTTCATGCGTCATGCTCGTGAACGGGTGCTGCCAGCGGAGATGAGTCTGCTCTTAATTCACTGGGTACTACTATTAATCGTTGTTCTAAACTTTAATCGTTCATTATTATTATTTTCTTTTTGCCTAAGCGGTAGGACACGTCATTCCTAAACTTTGTTAAACCATTTTTTTTACATATTTTAATTTTTTATTTTATAGTCATAATTTTTATATTATTTGCATTTTTTTTTTGTTTGTAATGAAAAGTGACTTTATGAGTTACCTCATATTGAAGTCATTTTTCAATTTGACGACTCTGTATATAATACAGGGAGAAAAAAACAGCCCTTGCTGAGTTTCTTGCCGGTTCTTCTCAGTACAAGGTCTCCCGCCGTAGATTTGCGAACCGATGGCGTAGCTTTTCGACATTCACAAGTGCTTGTAACAGCCTAGACTGAATAAACGATATTGAATTTTGAATTTTTTGAATTTTTTGATCGGATAAAATGGAAAATTCTAGAGGAGGCCTATGTCCGAGGAGGACAACCTGATTAAAATAGTGCTCGTGTACCAATTTTCTTTTATTAGTAAGTAAAGCATTGTAAAATTAAATCAAATTGTAGCAATAGGAAATTAGTAATACGGCTAGTTAGTAAGTAGTATAATAACTATATCAGAGAATAAAGGCTATTTTTATTTTTATTTATTTATTTTAAGACTCTACTAGCCAATTCAATCAACAATATAGGTTCTAGTACTGAAAAAAATTTTTTTTCTTAAAAATGCTAAGTCAATAATGGTGTAATTATGAAACCTTTTTAAGTGTCATATATTTATTCAAATAAAACTTTTGTGGCCCTGTTCAGGGCGTTAGGTAGGCCCCTGCTCATTTCACCCGGCCCAAGGGCTGGCTCTAATGAGCAGGGAGGAGGCTCACATACCTTCTTCTCGCTCCCCCGGTGGTTGAAAAATGCGTAAGGCATTTTCCAGACATAAAAAAAGGGATCTACGTACTTTAAATGAATAATAATTCCATTACAGTTAGGGCGCGTTTATATGACACAGAATGTCACAGCGTGGCGGCCGCGCGGTGACAGTACGGCGGCCGCGCGGTGACAGTACGGCGGCCGCGCGGTGACAGTACGGCGGCCGCGCGGTCACCGCGCTGTGGCTGCGTAATAACTGTTCAGTCATAGCAGATTTATGTTTTATTAACTATTAACTTACTTACTTACTTTGCCGCGCGGTCGCCGCGCGATAGCTGCGCAGTTAGTTACTCACAAAGAATCCAGCGCGGTCGCCGCGTGGCGGCCGCAAGAATTGTTTCGCGTCGTCTATCTGCAGCCTTTTGTTATTTACAAATTTGTGCAGAGTTAAGATATTTTATAAACATCAGAAATCAATATTTTTGTTCGGTGTGTAGTATATTTCCTTTAGAAAAAACTGTTCTCACTATTTTTATTTAGACAATTCAAAATTCACGGTGGGTCATTCGTAAACTTTGACTGTGCAAAACAAGCCTACATGAGCAAATTGCGCTTAAAATATGTACAAAAGTTCCCTGCACGATTTTTTTTATTGACCGTATTACAAAAACAATGAAATAACACTAAAACTAACTTAAAAATATAAAATTAAAATAACGGTTAATCAGGTCCCTGCCTCAGCATGAAGCTGTTGCCACACGTTATTAAGCGAGTGACAACAGCGCTGGTATTCAGGCAGGGCATTATTAAATAAGTTTCTTATTAACTTTGACTGTGAAATGACCGATAAGACATCTTTTTCAGGGGAATGCAACATATCTCTTAGAGCCAGCATACAAGGTCTCTTCAAACATACCACAGACATATCAGTGGAAAAGTTAAGTCGAGCCGACAAGGCACTACTCAATGTGCAGGTAAGTCGTACATAAACTTAATTAATCTATCTATATATATAAAACTCAAAAGTGCCGGACTGACATAGTGATCTATCAACGCACAGCCCAAACCACTGGACGGATCCGGCTGAAATTTGGCATGCAGGTAGATGTTACGACGTAGGCATCCGCTAAGAAAGGATTTTGATCAATTCTACCCCCAAGGTGATAAAATAGGGAATGAAAGTTTGTATGAAACTGACAATTTTAAACCGATCGGGCTGAGACTTTGCATGCAGGTATAAGAAGAATCATAGATGAATGTCATTGTGTATAATACAAGCCTGAGAACAAAAACTGTAGTCTACACTTCAACTCTACACCGAAGCGAAGCGAGGGCGGGCCGCTAGTTATACATAAACTTAGTACCTAGCTATACTTATCTTATTGTTAATTAATGATATTAATGTAATGAAAGTTGACATCAACACATGTTTTCAGTTTTTGATGTCATCTTTCAATTGACGACACTGTATAAAACAAAACAGGGAGAAAAAATAGCCCTTGCTGAGTTTCTTGTCGTTTCTTCTCAGTACAAGGTCTCCCGCCGTAGATTCACGAACCGATGGCGTAGCGTTTGACTTTCACAACAGCTTGTAACAGCCTAGACTGTAAATAAATGAGTTGATGTTGATGACTTTTAGTTTAATAATGAGTAAGATTTTCATAGAAAAGCTTGATGATGCAGTGGTTACCCCGTTCGGCCTGTGATTGTGTAAGTTAAGCAACAAACGCAATGGTCGTACACGGGGTGGGTGACCAAAACTCTGTCATTCGGAAGGCACGTTAGCATCCACCAATCCGAGCTATGCATATCCTATGTAATATCTCAAGATCCGTCCATGCTATTCTCCTTAAGGAAGCCCTCCCCACTGGTGGACATTAATCGGTTTATGAAAAATCCCATATTCTTGAAAGTTTTCAACCAGATTGTTATATGAGTACGTCACAATGGGTTAGCTAGTATTTCGTGGGGACAATGGGAATACCCAAAACATTCGCGGGGACAGTGGGACTTCCAATGATTCTGCAGAGCCAGTGGGAATACTTACATATTAATTCAATACAAATGATGAAAATGCCAATATTCCTGGTGCAGTGATATTTCTTGGGGACAGTGGGAATGATATGAATTCTAAATTTTCGTACTTAAATTGTACCATTGTTCATAATTTTTTATGGATAAAAACTCTTTACTCTTTCAGGAATCTATGAGAGCTACAAATGCGAATTTAATACTGGCCAAGGCTCGTCTCAAACAACTGGAGGCTGTTTTAGAAGAAGCCAACTGCGGAAGTGCCTTACCCACTGTCAAAATTAGAACATAGCTCCGGAGATTTCGATATTAGGTTTTAGGTTAGCGCGTTCGTGGAAATGAAGCAACTTTAGCAGTGGCCAGACATAAGATGGGTATGTAAAATGTATCTGAGCGAAAATGAATTTAGATATATTTTTATATACTGGACTGATTAGACACTCGTATAATATTTGAAATTTTCTAGAAAAAAGTATAAATAGGATTATACAAAGTATTGGCCGCACAATCGCTTCGTCTCTTTCTCATTTATCTGCTCAGTTTCACTTTACAGTTGGAGATCCCTCTCCAGTCCTAGTCCAGTCTATATTACTAGCGGCCGCCCGCGACTTTTAGTTTTATTTTTTCTAATATAAAAGATTTTTTCTAAAATAAAATAAGCCTAAGTTACGCCTTATTACATCAGCTACCTGCCAATAAAAGTCCCGTAAAAATTGGTCAAGCCATTTCAGAGATTAGCCGGAACAAACAACAAGACAGACAGACAAAAACTGTAAAAAATGTTATTTTGGTGTATGTACCGTATATACAGGGTGTAAAAAATCCTATGACAAAGACTCAAACTACGCATTCTGTACACCCACACAAGTAATATTACAAAATATTTTTTGGTGGGAAAAATTGTATTTTTAAACTCCATAAAATCCAAAATTGTTACTCCGTGATCATGGCGCTTGCAACAGTGCCGAAATATCGGAGACTCATAAAAAACAAGGTACATGGTAACAATCCCGTTAATAGCTATAATGTTAGTGACCATGAAAGTTTAAAACAATATATTGTATTTTTAAGTAAGAAAATACAATATTTTTTCCAGTACGCAATGTATAGCGCGACGCGCTACTGTGGCGCTACGCAAAGAATGTGCCTGTGTGTAAGTGTGTCGATAAAACAGTTTCTAAATAACGTTTTGAAAATATTAATGTAAAAATCTTGAAAAAAATTGTGACTGACCTTCAATATCTCCATAACCATAAATTTCCCAGGTATGGTCCAGAAGAAAAAAATGTTCGTCATGATGTGGAAAATACGTGGCCTTCGACTTGGTTAAAGGTTTTTTTACACCCTGTATGTATAGATTAGCACGTTACGTTAACATAGAAACTGTAAAAGTCAGTTAGATGATCAAAAAATAATGGACACGTATTTTTTCTTTGGGCAATCAACCAAAAAATGACAAAGTTATAGCTCGTCAAAGTTTGGGAGTAGGGGCTCGTGACGTCACTTTTTAGTGAATATTCGCTTAAAAGTGTACTCAAACGTGACGTCATGCGACTTTTCAAATCAATATATCTCTACAATTTTTATATTATGTGAAAAAAGAAAAAATGCGTGTCCAATACTTTTTGATAATCTACCTGATAAATGAAGAAAAAAAAATAGTCATCATCCCTATTCTATTGAATTTAATAGATTTTTAAAATCTTACAGAACAAATACGGAATAAATAAGTTCAAAGATTACGACCGAAAACAGATGGGCCAAAAGAAATAAGATTTATCATAATTAACAAAGTTTTTGTTATAATTATTGTTATTTTATAATCGTTACATTGTTTTAAAGCACCTAAGCGATATTGTTTGTTTAATATACTATTTTTTTATGAATATTATTTTTATTCTCTCAATCACTCAACTCACTGAACCTACCCTTGATATAAAGCTTATATTTCGTTCCCATTGACTCTGTTACGGCGGGGCGAATCGGAATTGAAACGTATGCCAAAATTTCCAGTACCCACTAAGTCTAATAAAAACAAGAAAGAACCAATAAAACGAGTGTGCTTATAACCACATGACTGAAGCGAAACTTCTTTAGTTCCATCTGTATATATACAGAGTGTTACAAAAATACAAATAAAGCTTGAAGGGCGTTTAAGTACATCATATAAGGAGTCTTCTCTAATTTTCTTAAAATATTTGCAAGAAGTTTGAACTTTTTATAAAAACACTTATTTTTAATGATTAATAATAATATCGATCATTTTAAGACACGTCACTAGTTCGAGGTCATGCACCTTACCAGGAGTAGCAATAAATCTGCTGTAATAAAGAATATTAGAGAACATTCCTTATATGATGTACTTCAACGCCCTTCAAGATTTATTTGTATTTTTGTAACAGCCTGTATGTGTGTGTGTGTGTGTGTACAATATATACATGTATGTACATATACATATTTCATTCACTAGCTATAAGAGAAAGAGAGAAATAAAATGAGCGCGCGCACTGCTTTCTCTTGCTTATAGCCCCCACTCAACTCCCGTTCGCCTCGCCCGATCACAGTTTTCGTAACGCATTCGCCAGCTTACTCCCCATGTAAAGCGTGCGTAAAGAAGTCTCACTTCAAAAATAAAATCAACAAAACACAAACAGTCGTTATTCAAAATAATATTTATTATCAAAAAATCAAAGTACAAAAATCTACATTCAGCGTGTCAGATCAGATCGTATATCCTTTCGTGTCGTAGCCCCAGTTCTTCATGTGGGTGTCTACCCAGTTTCTAAAGAAGGGCACGCCAGCGTAGACTGCGGGGATATCTTTGCCGCCGCAACCGATGCCCCAGGCTACCAGACCGGTTAGTTTATAGCGGTCTTCGCTCACGGGACAAGCGAGAGGTGCTCCGCCGTCACCCTGGGTTAAAGAAAGAAAAAAAAAACGTGAAAGAAATGAAGCATTTTAAAGCAATACCCCGGAATAGCAAAATCCCAGATTTGCAAAAAGGCAAAAGTACAGACCCACACAGAAAACAATACTAAAATTGAACAGTTATGTTACAATCTATAAATTTTATTTGAAAATATTAATACTTTAAGGAGAATTAGGTATTTCCTCTTTGTAACTTTGGTCCATTTTTTTAGTTCTATTCTCTATTGGAAAAGGCAAAGGCAAAGCCATGCAGCCATCGTCTTATTTTTGAATTAATCTTCTTTTTTTACATTAGAATGTGGGTGTGACGCTAAATTTCTAATGTTTCTTGGAGTGTTTAGAACAAAATGTATCGAGTCAGCTTTCTCGACAAGCTTCTGTGAAGTAGTCAACACTACAATAAAGTTCTCACGTCCACTTGACCGGTATAGCGTATATTTTAAAGATTATATTGTACCGTATCTACCCTTTTTGTTTTAATCTAAGTGCTATTCTGGGATATTGATTATCTGTCATTCTGCTGCAGAGATCATTTTTCATTCGAATTGGAATGAACGTCTTTAATAGCTAATAAGTATTTCAATCACTCATACCAATTAAGCGTCGTTAAGCAGAAAGCGAGCAAAAGAAAAATTGTTCTATAAACCCTGTGATGTTTAAGTTTGGTCCTAGAAAATCCCGCTGGTCTCTCTCTTTTTAACACCGCTCAATTAGCCTAGCCCCAGAGTAAGCACTGTAAAGCTTATATTATAGGATACATGGATAAGTATATTTTGGTAGAAATATATTAATAGCCATGACTTAGATATAAATGCTCGTATCCATCTTACAATATTTGCCCCACCTGGATTCGAACCCAGTCCCTCTATTTAAGCGACATATTAAACATGCTGCTTCACCATGTATTTCGACCTACGATCGTGAAAGTTAAGCAACTTTCGCAATGGTCGGTCATTGGATGGGTGAATAAAAACTTGTTATCGCGAGCTCCGTGCTTCGGAAGGCACGTTAAGCCGTTGGTCCCGGCTGCATCTGCAGACGTTATAACCCACTAATCCGCACTGGCCCACGTGGCGCGTGGTGGATTACAGCCCAGTGTCCCTGTCCATCCGAGGGAATACCTGTGGCTCTGCAGTAGGGACATTACTAGGCTGATGAGGGAATTGCTTTATTTATAAAAAAATGAACAAAATATATTTCGCTACACCCCTGCGAATATTACCTATGGAGGTGATATGGATCACAAAAGATCGCTAGCTTTTATTGATACAGCCCACCTAGCATGAGTAACAAAACGCGATATGATAAAGCGACAATGGAGTTTGACAGTTGAGTGTCGATAAATCGTTTTATCATATTAGAGAGGAAGGTTTCAGGGCTCCACAAGGTTGAGCTCCTTAGCTATAAAAGATATCCCCGATTTGTTCCTATCTTCTACGACCCGCAATTATTTTTAAACACTTCAAAGTACTTATGTATCGAAGTTTTCCTCATTTAAAGTTCCGTGATCACTAGACCGTAGCTTCCGTGCTGGCTATGTCATCTTCACACGGTTTAAATAGACAAGGAAGAGATAAACAATCGAATTAATTTCCTATAGTGCGAAAAATAACAAGCTGTCGTGACTCATCTATGGAAAGAGGTATTATAGGTATATATAATAGCTGATTTTTTTATTTAGAGTGTGTTTGTATGATAAATATGAGCATTTGTCCTAACCCTTTTTATAAACATATATTTCTCGAAAAATGTACTTATGTATGTAGTTGCCCTAGTATCCCATAACAGAAGCCTAAAGTATGACGTCACATTTGCCTTCTTTGCATTGGAAACATGTTTTAGAAAATATTAAAATTAAACATTTCAAAAAGAAACAAACGTCAAAAAATACTATAAAAAAGTATTTAAATGCGTTCAAAACTTGTTTCAACTAATAAGAGGTGTGCGTGAAATATATATCTAAATAAAAAAAATCCTAGAAATAAATCCACACGGACCAGGTAGCAGACGGGATTAGGTTTAAATATCTAGCAGTTAAATGCTTAAAAAATAAAAAATATAGCAAATATTATGTTCAAATTGCATGCCGGTTTGGTTTTGCATACAAGTAAAGATGTTCCCAAAAGGGTATTTGACAAGTTTTAAAAATCGATCTCATTATTTACTAATGTTTCTAGAGTCCATAAAAAGTGGATATTCATCACTATGTTGTGTATTTCGGTAAAAAAACCAAATCAAAAACGCTATTTTCAAGTTGCCGCGAAAAACGTATCTCTGAACAATATGGCGTCTCACTGGTGTGTGACGTCACACGACTGTCATTAAATCATCAAATCATACAATCAAATGTCACTTTAACCGGAAGTTTACTTGCGTGTGACGTCATTTATTGGCCAAGCGTTCTGGGTAAACGTGACAATAGACAAGAAAACTATTATCTTCATCGTGAGTTTTTAGGAAAATTATGAATATTTTTTCTGTAAAAATAGTAAAAACTCCTGCCAATATTCATACTAAATACAGATGCTAACAATTGGTACTTTATTTTTAATACTGTCAAATACCCTATTGAGTGGGTTACGTCTGATTTAACGTGCAACTAACTAATGTTTGCGCTTTCAATTTGTGCGTCACTTTGAATGTAAAAGTACAGCCTACACGCAACTTGTAGCTTGTATGCAGGTTATTTTTAGTTGGATGCAATTTGCACCTCATATAAGTAAGTTACCTAATGCCTTTAAGTGCTTACTACGGTGCTAATCTAATTGTTGTGTCTTAGAAATATAAAAAAAAAACATCGGGGCCAACGGGAATCTCCCGCGCTTTCTCACCGTGCAAGTGTCCTTTCCCTCCTCGCCGCCGGCACACACGAAGCTGTTGTGCAGTTTAAAGTGATTTCCTAAACGAGTCCTCCTTAGCAACTGCTGGCATTGAGCGTTAGGCACCATGTCGATCTCCAGCTTCTTGAGTATCACAGCGTAGCTGCCTTCCTTGCCTGAGGAAAAAGGATAATACGGGTAACAACGGGGAAAAGTAAACAAAATTATATTTATTCCGTCAGTTAGGTTATCAAAAGTATTCGATACGTATGTTTTCTTTAGTCTAACAACGAAAAAATGACAAAGATAAGGCGCCTCTAAGTTTGGGTGTAAATGTGTTTTTTCCCATTGCAATCGCCAAATTGATATTTTTATAAAATACGCGACTGCAGCGCCCCCTTTCCAAATATATAAAAAAAAGCAAACTTAATTTGAAAGAAAATAAAAAATATTAGCGTATTCATATGAAAACAAACATTTTTACAAACAAAAAATAAAACCCGAAATCGGGTACTTTTTGGCACCTTATATTGGCTAATTACACAAAGCGCCATGATTGAAATTAAATGTGTTTCAGCACCCTCGAAAACATAAAAAAAACCGGCCAAGTGCGAGTCGGTCTCGCGCACCGAGGGTTCCGTACAAACCTTAAATGATTTTTGAAGTGAAACTTCTTTATCGGCGTTGGAAAAAAATTTACCGTCACATTTTATTCGGTTACGCGTCACGTTTTTTGGTTACGCGCCATCTTTTTTTTAAAAGAGCACTATTTACCTCATCCGAACAATTGCTTCTTCTGTCAACTTTAAAAAAAAAGTATCGACAGCAAATATTCGTGTTTCACACAAGGTAAGGTAAGGTAAGGTAAGGTAAGGTAAGGTAAGGTAAGGTAAGGTAAGGTAAGGTAAGGTAAGGTAAGGTAAGGTAAGGTAAGGTAAGGTAAGGTAAGGTAAGGTAAGGTAAGGTGTAGTTATACCCCTTTAGTGGGTGAGTTTTTGAAAAATCTTAGCGCACGCCTATATATATATTTCTGGAAAGTTGCATGTAGATCATTTTTCGAAAAAAATAAGGCCATAAAGAAGTTTCACTTCTTACGTGTATACACTAGTACACGCACACATTTTTTTTATATATATATTTGAGTTGATTGAATGAAAGGTAAAGTTCGAAGCTGAATATACTCGTAGCTGCGAAAGCTCAGACGGGAATAATTACCGGTCTACGAGGAGCAGTGTGAATAGAATGCAAGACTGAGGAGCTCGATGCCGCAAGTATGCCATCGTGGAAGTTGAGCAACCTTTGCAATGATCGGTCATTGAATGGGTGACCAAGAAGTTATAATCTCGAGCTCCTCCATGCTCCGGAAGGCCCGTTAAGCCGTTGATCCCGGCTGCATCTGTAGTCTAATGACTACAGAAGCAGTGAGGGTTGGTGGGTGCTAATGCACCAACCCACCAACCCTCACTGAGCCCGCGTGGTGGGTCATGGTTCAATCTCCCTATCCATCCACAGGGAAGGCCTGTGCCCCAGCAGTAGGAACAGTACATTAATAAGCTGCTGATGGTTTTGATGAATGTTGAAATGTTAACCATTTAACTGGACGAATTATTTTCACCTGGAGGCATTTGATATATATATATATATATATGTTATATGTGTGTGTGTGTGCATATATATATTTATATGTCTTGTGCTCATGAATAAGTATTTAATTATTGTGTATAAGATTAGTACTTTCTATTATGGTAGGTTTATATTAAGTAACTATTTTACTAAAGCCGCATTCGTGTCTTGCTGTATTCCTGAAGGTTGACTGGCAGAGACTGCTTTTAGCGTTAAGTCCGCCTTTTATCCATTTTGTAATTGTGGCAATAAAGTTTAAATTAATAAATAAATAAATTTGTAATAAGCATATTCAGCTTCAAAATTGTGCGGTCAATGGGAATACTTACCGCTCTACGGGGGACAGTGGGAATAGAAGTAACGCGTCAACTTACCGAAGAATGCCTTCCCCCATCCGTTGGCGACACATTTCTTCTTCGTATCAAAAGATTCGTCCTGTGACGGGAGGCAGATGACGTTAATGTGTTCGGCTAGCTTGACGGGCTCGGCCAGACGCAGTAGAGCAATGTCGTTGAAAAGATTCACTTTGTTAAAACCTGGAGGGGCAAAGAGAAACAAAAATTGGTTTAGTTTTATAAAACCACATTGCAAGTGAAAATTTTTAAGTGTTTTATTTATTTACTAATTTAGTACCATAGAGGTATAAGAATAGAGTGGGGAAGGCGGCTCTAAAAGTGTCCGTCTAGTAGAAAGAGAAAGAAGATGAGAGACGCCTAGCCTTTCTCTCTCTAATCACGAATGCGCATTGGATGAAAAACCTACAGATGAATACCGACCAATCACACGACTGCGCAGCAATACCGACCAATCACAACTGCGCAGCAATACCGACCAATCACACGACTGCGCAGCAATACCGAACAATCACAAGACTGCGCAGCGACACAAGAGAGAGATAGCTAGCCGTCTCTCATCTTCTTTCTCTTTCTACTAGAGGGACACTTCCACTTGTAGTAGAGTATACATCTCCCCTACTCTATTCTTATACCTCTTTGTTTAGTACACACACAACAAAACAGATAAAAAGATCAGGAACAAGAAATTTGTACAAGCGCTGCTTATTTTATATTAAAATTTCTTCCAACAGGCCCGCGAAAGGAAAGTACATAAAAAAGGTCGTCAGTGTGTGCCTCCTGAATATCTAATAATATTGTATTTTTTTTATAAAATAATATAAAATGAATCGCTGAATGTGTTGCTAAGCGCAAATCTCGAGAACAGCTGAACCGATTTTTAAGAATATTCTTTTCTTAGAATATTCCTTGAAGTACGAGGATGGTTCTTACGCAGAGAAAATTTAAAAAAATTGCCTGATTAAGTCCAAAAACTAACTTTTCTATACTCCCTTACTTTCTTAGTTATAGATACGTCATACACGCTTCTGATTTGGCAATACGAATGTCAGGTAATTACCCGACATGCAATTAGTCAGGCACGTGCTTTCGCCGCGGCTACACTTCGCTACAACAGGCAGAAAGCCCTATGTGTTTTTAGGCACAAAATACACGGGAACTATTAGAGACAAGAAAAACGTGTCGTTTCATAATAAATAAATAATAAATATTTCCAACACTCACACCAATTAGCCTAACCCCAAAGTAAGCACTGTAAAGGCTTGTGTTATGGGATACTAGGGTAACGGATAGAATACATATATTGAACATATATAAGTATATTTATATGAATTACATATTAAACATCCATGACTGGAGTACAAATGCTCGTATTCATCACACAAACATCTGCCTCCACCGGGATTCGAACCCGGGACCTCTCGAGTCGGCGACGCCATGAAACCCGGCGTATAAACCACTCGGCCACGGAGGTCATTTCATTCGTAAGTATAGTTTTAAAGAAATTAATGTAAAAATATTATGTGATTTCTTACCCGACACGTAACAATAAATTTTGTATTTAGTTTTACCTGGATGGATGACCATTTCCTGGACGATTCTCTCCTGGTGTTTGAGCCTCTCCCCGGTTGTCTGGGTGTCCCATTCTCCAGCTCGGATCTTCATGTTGTTAGGATATCTGTGTATTATTACTTAGTTATTATAACTATATTGATTAAAAAAATAACACCAGAAACGACTACAATAGGGATGATGACGGGGTACAGTAAACGAAATTCTATTTAGTCCGTCAGTTAGATGATCAAAAAATAATGGACATGTATTTTTTCTTTGGGCAATCAACCAAAAAATGACAAAGTTATAGCGCGTCACTTTTGAGTGAATTTTCACTTATAAGTGTACTCAAACGTGACGTCATGCGACTTTTCAAATCAATATATCTTTGCAATGTTAATATTATGTGAAAAAAGAAAAAATACGTGTCCAATACTTTTTGATAATCTACCTGATAAACGAAGAAAAAAAAAATAGTCATCATCCCTATTCAGTAGAGTAGTATGTACACCGAGTTTTAAGTGTTTTCCTGCTTTGGGGTCCTGGATTCGATACCCGCGGGTTTCGGGTTGGTACCATCCACCCCGGCCGTCCCGCTCCGTTACCGGGGCAGTTGGGAAAATTGTACCATCGACTCCGGTAGCCCCGACCCCGTCGTTATCGGCGTCGTCGTGGCATATCACCCACCAATAGGGTTGCCACCCGTACTTTATTATATAAAGTATTGTACGTTATTTCGGGTAATTGTACTCTATACTTTATGCCAACAATAAAGTACGCGAAAATACTTTATTTAATGTGATTTGATTACTCGCGGATTAATTATACATAAAATATACAAACAGAGGTTGATAGGGAGAATTTTTGCGTAAAACGGACAGAAAGTATGAATATGTTGCCCTTAGCTAATTCCTGCAACATTTTCGTGGCTGTGTGCCTTTGTATCATGACCTTTCCCATTACGGAAAAAAAACTACAGTAGCCGCAAAGTAGCAACGTAAAATATTTTTTTTTCTATTAAAACTTTTCTTTAGATTTAAACGTCTAGCAGTTAAATGCTTTAATAAATAAAAACATAACTATAAATGCTATTATTTCTTCTTTCAAATGTTTAATACTTGAAAAAGTATTCATTTGACATTGTGGGTTACCTACAATGCGAAGAGATGGCGCTGCCTTGCAGCTTAAGGATAGGAAAATTTCGACGCGGCCATCAGGGCCAGTGCATTCGCCCGGATTGCGAAGGGTGTGGGTTCGAGTCCGTCTGCTGCCTGATCCGCGAGGATTTTTTTTCTATTAAAACTTTTCTTTAGATTTAAACGTCTAGCAGTTAAATTCTAAAAAAATAAAAACATAAATATATTTTTAAGCTTACTAATAAAATGGAATAATAAGTACTTTATTTTGGACACAATGTACTTTTTTTCTACCATTAATATCCAATGTACTTTATTTGGTCAAAAAAAAAGGTAGCAACCCTACCCACCAATCCCCTTAGGGGGCGTCCATAAGTTACGTGAGGTGTTTTTTTGAATTTTCTGTCCCTCCCTCCCCCCCTGGTGAGATGTCGTGAGATTTTAGTCAACCCCCTCCCCCATCCCCAATCTCACGTGAGATTACTCAAAATGTGGGTTTCTTACGTAAATGCGTTGGATTGTTATTGTAAAAAGAAAAAAAAATGCTTCGTGCTTTTATTTACGACTAGTTAAGAGTCTATATAGTAACTAGTAATCAATATTGCTGAGAGTTATTTCTTTCGAACGAAATAGTGAATGATCTTAATCGTATTACGATTACGCTTAAGATTAAATTTTAAGCATGTATAATCTGGATTAAATGGACCAAAATAGTATATTTTTTTTGTTAAAATCAGAAAAAAATTGCGTGATATTTGACTTGACCCCCCCTTCTCTCCAACGTAAGATTAGATGAGATTTGACTCGACCCCCTCCCCCCCTTAAACATCTCACGTAATTTATGGACCTCAAAAAATTCCCTTTTCACATACCAATCTCCTGTGCTCAAAAAAGGATAGCCCTTAAAGTATCACTACAAGGCGGTAAGGTAAACCTTACCGTAGTTTTTGATTGAACACTGGTTTTTCTTACTTGTAAGCGATATGAGCTCCGGTCATGACGACTTGCGGGTGTATGAGCACTCCCACGCCAACATACGAGTCGTTGAGTGCCGTCAGAGCTACTACCCACGGGAACTCGCCGAACTGGGACTCGCGACCCTGTTGGTAAGAAAGAATTACATAAATAAATATACCATCTACAACTATAATGCTCAACTATATGGAGGAGCTCGATGGCGCAAGTGGTTAGCGCGTTCGGCTGCAATTGTTGAACTTAAGCAACTTTCGCAGTGGTCGGTCATTGGATGGGTGACCAAAAATTTACTATCTCGAGTTCCTGTGCTTCGGAAGGCACGTTAAGCCGTTGGTCCCGGCTGCATCTGCAGTCGTTAGCACCCGCCAATCCGCACTGGGCCCACGTGGTGGGTCATGGTCCAATCTCCCTATTCCATCCATAGGGAAGGCCTGTGCCCCAGCAGTGGGGACATTAATAGGCTGATGATGATGTTAGCATCTGTATTAAGAATGAATATTGGCAGGAGTTTTTACTATTTTTACAGAAAAAATATTCATAATTTTACTAAAAACCCATGATAAAGATAATAGTTTTCTTGTCTATTGTCACGTGACCTTGCGTGAGCTTGCGAATGGCGGAGCCTAAAATGACGTCACACGCAAGTAAACTTCCGGTTAAAGTGACATGTGATTGTATGGTTTGCCGTTATTATGACAGTCGTGTGACGTCACACACCAGTGAGACGCCATATTGTCCAGAGAGATACGTTTTTCGTCAAATACCCTATTATAATATACAGGGCGTCCCACGGGTTTGTCACACAGGGGGAAAGTATATTAAATATTGAAGATAGGATATGTTACTGAAAATAAGAAATCATTTTATCTATATATATAAAAATGAAACCCGTTTTCCGTTGTCACGACATAACATGAAAACGGCTTGACCGATTTGGCTGTTTTTTTTTTGTAGTTTTCTAATACTCTGTACAAGGTTCTTACGGAAAAAAATATAAAGAAAATCCCGAGGGGATAAAATAAGGAATGAAAGTTTGTATGAAACTTTATCAATTTTAAACCGATCGGGCTGAGACTTTGCATGCAGGTATAAGAAGAATCATAGATGAATGTCATTGTGTATAATACAAGCCTGAGAACAAAAACTGTAGTCTACACTTCAGCTCTACACCGAAGCGAAGCGAGGGCGGGCCGCTAGTTTTTAATAATTAAGAAGAACTGCTTTCTCAGTTTTTAAAAAATCGCCTGCCAAACCGGGAATCAAACTCGTGAAATGAGAAAAAAAAAACATGTATTTTATGATTACATTTTCCTAAATAATAAAGCATTTTAAAAGAAAGAAAAATCACGAAATTTGTCCTTTTTTTAATAATTGAACACAAATTACAATAAAAAGGAAACGGTGCTAGGTTTGTATATGTATAGCTTTAAATTTTTTTCACGTACCTACTTGTAGTAAGAAAATCCCATATTATTATGTGAGCTGGTACTAGTTAGTAAATACTTTGAAATGATAACATAAGCAAATAAGTAAGAGGAAATTTTCCTGTCTAAAACTTTAATTTCATGATCTTCCTTTCATTTAAAATGCTATGTTATTTAGAAACAAAATATCATAAAATACGTAATTTGCTTTTTTCGAATTTCACGAGTTTGATTCCCAGTTATAGCAGCTGATTTTTAAATAATATGAGAATGCAGTTATGGTTTTTATTAAAAATAAAATTATGTCTTCTTTCAGTAAATATCCTATCTTCAATATCTAATATACTTTCCCTCCGTGTAACAAATCCATGGGACGCCCTGTATATGTACATATATTCAAGCAGGATTTATTCGCAACTAGCGACAGGCGCTCTCTGATTCAACGGCGGTAAGTTTATGCAAGTTTTTAAAGCGAATTTAAACAGTATTTTTCGTGACGAATTGCCTGAGGCTTCTGGTGCCTGAGCAGACTGTGGAGTCCATCTCCTTTCGCGGCGAAAGGAATCCAGACGGACTGGCGCCGTAACGCGTTACGTAACGAAATGGTTTACCCTCCCATAGATTGATAGACAGATTAACACTTTACTAGCAAACCTGTGAACCAAATGTTCGCAAAAAAAAAAAAAGTATTTAATTAATAGCAGCATTTTACCTGAAATAAAATGCATATTAAAATACTTACCTCACTGAAAGCTTTATATTGAGATAGCACTTCCGTTTCCCGTCGAATTACCATCAGTTTCCGTACTTTTATTCACCTTATATCCGGTCCAGTGGCGACACCTGGCAGAAGCGCGACCATTTTTGTTTTCCTAAGTTTTGACAGCGCCATATTAACTCATTGGCTCAATTATTTCACCAGGCAGAATTTAAAGTGAAAGCTTTCAGTGAGGTAAGTATTTTAATATGCATTTTATTTCAGGTAAAATGCTGCTATTAAACTACTTGACCGTCACTGAAAGCTTTATATTGAGACCTGTTTGTTATCGCCTGGTGATCGCCACGTACATAGATATATACGCCAATGTGACAATTTATGATAAATTTAAATATTAACATTTATCAGATTATATGAAACTGTATAAAGAAACGAGTAAGCTTAAAAATGAATCAAATAATATTATTTGAATCACGCCTTTAATTTCTTCAAGCTTACGAAGCTGCTTTAACATATGTATTAGCTGATCGCTATATTTCTTTGCTTAAAACTCGCGAAGTATATATATATATACTTCTACATATATTTGCTTTGTTAATGACCGGACGCTTCCTTGTGTAGCATTCATTTGTATCTTTGTATATCACAAATAAGGAGTACGAACGCGAGAAAAAGATGTAAAGTTGTTCGATACTGAGTCTTACATTTTACAAGACTGTACTTTTTACTTAAGTACCAAAAATCAGGGTCCCACTTACGATTACCATTATTCGGTACAAGTCACCAATCGGATTGTCTTTAACTACTTTCACCTGTTTTGAACCAAAACAAGGCTAAACTAATCTTCGTCGGTACAAATACAATGATTCGGGATAATTTGAAGTAGGAACAAGTCATGTGTACCACATGCTGAACCAAATAATACGCAGCATAATTACTGTATGACGTTCAGAGCAACATATATGACGAAGTATTTGAAACAGATCATTATGATGTAACGAGTACATTATTGAAGAAAAGGAAATAAGTTAACTTATGGACACAGAATAGTAGGTTACGGACTGATTCTTTAAAAACAATCGACTTCAATATATGTGTTTGCCAAGACAGGTGAGCTTAGGTAATTAGACTTATCATCCATTGGTATATCATGTAAAAACTACTGACTTATTTAAAATAATGGTACTTATTTTAAGATAAGTCACGAGCTAAAAATAAGTCTCTCGAAAATCGTGTTAGTTCAGAGCAGAGTCCACAACTTGCGGGATTATTCCGATAAACATTCTTGTTCCTAGACCAATGCAACCACGCAAGCCAGCGTTTCCGAGCCATCTCATAGCTGTTTAAGACAGAGCTGTCGCTCTTTGTAGAATATGTTGAAAAGCGTAGTGCTAGCATATCGTGCCGTGTTCTTCAACTATACTTCCCAAGCTTTCATATTAGATTGGCGGGAAGTGATTGCAAGGTCGATTGCAGTGAATTCATAATTATTGTTAGAAGTAGGGAGTGGTTGATACAACCCCACGGAATGACAAAAATGTTGAAACCGATCAACTTCTGAAGTTTACGTTTTTACAACGAAATTCTCTGGTATAGTTTTTATATTGTTGCTGGGTTGCCGTGATAAATTATGCTATTACGAAGTTCAGACCAGATTTTATGAAATTCATTTGCCATCCTGGAATCTATAATTGATTGTAATTTTTCTTTTGTTTTTCAGTTCTTAGATCTGAGTCATTTATATGTATTACTTAATACTAAATAAAGATTTAGCTATTTATAAGATTTACATGAGGTGTGCATGTACTATGCGTAGGGTTTGAAGTATATTTATTCCAGACAGTCGTGGGAAGGTTAAAAAGCGTAAGTTTAATATTAAGAACAGTTTTCAGTAATTTTTACTAAAATAACATAAAGGGGATAATTGCATACAATGATCTTTAAAACCTTTCAAGAATTTGGTAGATCGTGCAATCTTTCTTCAGTAACTAGCACCACTTATATATCAAAATGATCATGTTGGCCACCTCAGACACCACATACACGACATTTCTAATATTGCAAGTTTCTCTCATTACGCGATCAAAAGAGTGAGCAACCCATTTGGTTTACTTTTGTTATTTTCAAGAGAAAATATGTTATATTCTATTTATCTGGCAGATAGTCCTTAAATTGCAGAAAACTTAGAATTCTTTACATATTTATAGTGTACTGCACTTGAGATTGGAGTTTGATATATATTGGATTTAGATAAACAAGCTTTTGAATGGCATGCGATACCATTAAATTTATTTAAGAATTATTTATGGAGCTCCCAGTTTATCAACTTACCTGCACTAAATTTTTTCAAACATTAATTGTGTCGATATTCCTTTTTCTTTTGAAATGTATTATATATTACGGTAGAACAACCGTAGTGATCGAGTCAACACTTCACACCAATTAGCCTAGCCTTATAATGGGCATTGAAAGGCTTGTGTTATGGGCTAACGCCTAGAAATGCATAATGATGATGCATAGATTAGAATTTATTAGATTAGATTTTGAATTCATATTTGTTAACAACCAAAACTTAGGCACAGATGCTCGTTTTTATCATACAATGATTTGCCCCACCGGGGTGAACCCAAGACCTCGGAGTATGCGACACCTTAAAAACCACGTACATTGCACTTCCCAACGGGGTACGTCAACATTCGATGTTCGATCTTTATAGTCTATTAAGAGGGTAGTTTATAGCCGATACTTATGTGTGTACGCAAGCCATGAGCGGGTATGTTGCGTTGCGTTGATGTATGGATTTCCACGCGATGGAAGTAATGAATTATGTCAAGCGACATTTATTATATTTTCAATTTACTTATTTTTAATGTTTCGAATCCATTACACTTTTACAGACCCCATGGTCACAAAAATAAATTATGAATCACGAATAGACTACATATTAAATTATGCATAATTTGCTCCACTCGAGTGTCGTATGTTACCGGTGCTTACATAATAGTACGAACTCCATAAGCGAACATGTTCTAAGGAGAACACATATTGATATTCACGTAATGGAAATAATATATTATGTGTGATATGACCCCACAAGGGCGATTATAAAATTGATGAGGATATTTCTCTATCAACGATGTTTTGTTACTGATACTTGTATATGTAGGCAAGCCATGGAAGGCAAGTCCTTATTCATAATGAGTTCCATACGGAGGAAGCAAATTATACATAATATGCCCCCGCGAGGGGCGGTCATCAGAGTTTTGGTAATATGCACGCCGCGAAGGTGGTTTGCTACCGGTACTCGTATATGTAAGCAAGGCATTAGAGGTATTTCATAAGGTTTCACGTAGTGGAAACAAATTGTATATAATATGCACCCCGCGAGGGTCATTTGCTACCGGTACTCGTATATGTAGGCAAGGCATTAGAGGCATTTCATAAGGTTCCACGTAGTGGAAACTAATTGTACATAATATTCACCCCGCGAGGGTGATTTGCCACCGGTACTCGTATATGTAGGCAAGGCATTAGAGGCATTTAATAAGATTCCACGTAGTGGAAACAAATTATATATAATATGCACCCCGCGAGGGTGATTTGCCACCGGTACTCATATGTGTAGGAACGCCATGGGAGGGCATGTCCTGACACGCCTTGGGCTTCATGAGATGAAGCTTATGAATATCACTTGCCTCTGCGCTAGTTGCTCATTAGGTTGATGAAATGTCAATCACTTAAATCCATGACAAATACTTACTTAATACGATAAAAACAACCTCATAGATGGTATCTTATTAAGTGGTGCTTCATCACAGAGATCACTAACTTCTTGCAGTGCTTTAGTTTTTACTTTTTAGCTTTGTGCTAGCTGTAAAAGACCTAAGAAACGATTCTGTTATCTTATCACTTTCGTTATTAAAATTAACTGAGCAGGTGCCTTCCCGCAATGATTCATTTTTATTTTAGAAATATACAATTGCTGAAAGAAAATTAATGTCAGGAACGTGATATATCATAAATTATCATCATACTTCTTTACCTCGTTGTTTGTTTCCAGGTTGATAAAGCCTGGACTATGATTATAATTTTTAATTTACGTCAGCATATCATTTAAAATAAACGTTGAATGTCTTTCGAACAGAGCGTTCCTTTATCCTAGTTTAGTCACACGACTCATATGAGAATTTTTATTACGTGTATTGGTCAGTAAAAATGTTAGAACTGTTTATTCATAAGCCTTTAGATATTGATAGCTGGCCATGTTCAGAAAACGGCATATCGACATTAGAAATACCTTATTAAGATTGTACATAGTTCACTTACCCCTCGAACAATATTTTAATAAAAGGGCTGGAATATCAAGCTCGCTTATTTTTCTTGAGTCAGCGATGTCACTTTCGTTATACCAGAAGACGACAAATTCAACCAATTTTTACTGCAGCTGTTCGAAGAACAATAATGACTAGATCCACACATCTTGCTGTTTTTGCCAATAATGCCAGTCAGTCGGCGGCTGAAAAGTCAATATTGACCGATATTCCTTCACTCTAAACTGTAAAACAATTTAATTAAGTATTTTGTAATACATTTACCAATTTACTTTCACATTTACTTATACGGAAACATTAATTGAGTACCAAGAGAAAACACTCTTAAAACAGTTTTTATGATAAACGACCAAGACAGACGTAAAGTATTGCAAAATTTACTTTAATGTAGGTACTTTAATTTTTTAAACAAAACGCACCTTGAATTGCCGTTAAGTTTTACTCACGGCTTATTATTACTTTTTCAAACAAGCGTATTGCACAATTTAACATATTTGTTTTAAATATCCCTTATCACAAGGGCTGCAAAAACTATCAAAAAGAATAATAGTTTTACTTACGATTCCTTCACTTTTGACACGTAAAGTACCTATTTGGAATAACACGAACGGCAAAAACCGTTAAAAATAAAATAGTTTTACTTACAGTTTTATCACTTAATAAGAATAAAACCATTAAAATCTCACAACGATCGCTCAGATTGAGGACGTGTTGCTTCGACGGGAGTCAGAACGCCAATGAGTTAATATGGCGCTGTCAAAACTTAGGAAAACAAAAATGGCCGCGCTTCTGCCAGGTGTCGCCACTGGACCGGATATAAGGTGAATAAAAGTACGGAAACTGATGGTAATTCGACGGGAAACGGAAGTGCTATCTCAATATAAAGCTTTCAGTGACGGTCAAATAGTTTAATTGAGAACTTCGGAGATTTTGTGTGGTTTCGTTTGAAATAGAAATCACGTGATTTCTCGAAAACCGGAAGTGCTACGTTACTCACATCCGGTTTGTAGTCTTATCAGACTATTATAACTTAAACATTACTTATAACTTAAACATTCTCTATATCTATCTCTTACGGTTTGGCCGCTGAAACAGCACCACGGACGGGCGGACGGACGGACGGACTTGTCTAATAGATAAGAGATTATAACACCAAATACATAGCGATTAGTGACATAACTTTAACAAACAATAAACTTAACAATGGCATTATAATTGGTCGTTTTATCGCTAAGAGCGATTTCTTCCAGACAACCGTGAGTATGAAAAGTTATACAGAGACTGTAGATTGGGATGTTATATGGTTCGGAATTACTAGTCACATCTGTACATACAACTTTACATCAAACCTATTTATTGTAATTCAAAAATACATTTAATAACATATACGGTAATAAAAAAAATAGTTTAAAGGGTTAATGCACGAAACTTTATTTATTCATTAACGTTTCGCAGCCTTTTCAGGTCTGCATCGTCAGAATACTCGAAGAAATCGCGAAGAACATAAGCTGTTTCATACATTTCGGTCGATTAGCTGATGCACTTTGTTATGAAACAGCAGATATTTTCGCGATTTCAGCGTTGGTCCTATAATAAAAGTTGTTCCTGTTCATGGGTAGAATCACCCCTAAGAGGATGTTGGTGTTTTAAAATTACATACACACACATACATACAAAAACATAACATATAATATATGATAAACGTTTTACACAGTAGGTAAAATCAGATAGACTGCGAAAGATAAAAGTGTTTGAGCTGGTCTTTGAATATATTCAAAAGACTGAGGGCGTCTGATATTAGTAGGCAACGAGTTCCAAAGCCGAACAGCTTGTACAGCAAAGGAATGGTCATAATAGCTGGTGCGGTGAACAGGCATATCCCACACGAAGTAATGAAAATAGCCATCTATACTAGAGATGGGCCGACTATAGTATTTGCCGACTAACCGACTAATCAGTTTCCGAATTGCCGACTAGCCGGCCGACTATTCTGCAATACCGATCATTCTTATACCTATCTTAGGAAGGTGTTCGGAATATTTTGTCACTACTCGGCTTGCTCACGCACGATACGAGTCTCCCAAATCGAGCCGAAATATTCACGTTCCAACATCACAATTTGCCTCTAAGGAAAAAAATGTGTACCTATGGACTTCTTTAAGACTCGCTAGCGCTTAAGATTTTACTAAATTTATAAATACTTACTCCCCATTGCTGTTTTGTTATGTGCGATATTCATTGTGTTATCTGAATTACTGATAGATTCCCAAGTTTCTTATTCTTACTATGTTACTTTTTTTTAAATATTGAAGTTATACTTCTTTAGGCGCGTTATGAAAAAATTATGAGAGTGAAATTTTAAGATGCGCGCGCGTGATGCGCGCAACACAAAATTTTATTCGCTAAAGCGACCAACTTCATGCTGTTACTTTTGTGTTTACCGCACATTAAGAAAATCTACCAACAAAATAGAAATAGAATCTCTATTTAGTGGGTGCTAACGACTGCATTGTGAAGGCCTATCAAAAGTATTTATTAATCTGGAACAACGGAACCAAAGCGCGATTCAGGAGACTACAGCGCCATCTCTTGACCATTGGTGTAGTAGAACCAAAAACCACATCTTTATTTTTTGTAATAAAGTAACAGTTATAGGTATTCATATTTATAATATTTATCCACATGTTTCTAGTTTGTATATTCGGAATGCGTGTTTGAGTTTCATACAAGTGCAAATCACATATGTTCTTATAAATTATATTCAGTAGCGATTTTAATTGAACATTTTGATTATTTATTTATTTTTTCAAATTAAAACTGAACTTTATTGACTGTATCCTTTTCCAGACTTTTTATTAATTTATTGTAATTAATTATTTGCATGCAATTAAAAACTAATTTTAAACGATGCCAAAGAAGGATAACTTCTCACGCGCCTACATAAGTACACGCACCCATTTTTTTAAGACTGTAGGTTTGAATATTCAAAACAAGCATAAATTTTGATTTTTATTTCATCGTTATGTGCCGATTATAATCAGCATGTTTTGCCGAATAGTCGCCGACTAATCGCCGACTATAAACGTTGCCGAATAGTCGTCTTTCCCGACTAGTCGGCGGCTAGACGGCCCATCACTAATCTATACTTACAGAACCTCCTTTGATTGTGAAGTCCAGTCCTTTAGGGTTCCTGTAGCCGCAGCCCTTGAGGGTGACCGGGTCTGTTTCTGGGACCTTCACCTCCTCCTCAGTCTTGGGCTCTGTGCAGCATTTCTCAACGCTCTCTTGGCAGTTGTCTTCTTCACCAAATCTGGGGAAAAAGTAATGGTACTTTTACAATAGCGGGGTATGTTAAAGTGACGCTACTTATATGGTTAGGTTAGGTTAGGTTACACAGTAGCAGTAATAAAAGAGCTTACAATAAATAATTTTTAAAGAAAAGTTTACTAGAAAAAAAATCCACGCGGACCAGGCAGCGGACGGGACTCGAATGCACTGACCAATTATGCTACCACAGCCCTAATAGCCGCGTCGAAATTTTCCTAGCCTTAAGCTGCAAGGCAGCGCCATCTCTTCGCATTGTAGGTAACCCACAATGTCAAATGAATACTTTTTCAAGTATTAAACATTTGAAAGAAGAAATAGCAATTATAGTTATGTTTTTATTTATTTTTAAGCATTTAACTGCTCGATGTGAAAAATTCGACGCGGCGAATAGGGCCGTGGTAGTATAATGGTCAGTGCATTCGCCCGGATAGCGAAGGGTGCGGGTTCGAGTCCCGTCCGCTGCCTGGTCCGCGTGGATTTTTTTCTAGTAAACTTTTCTTAAGATTTAAACATCTAGCAGTTAAATGCTTAAAAATGAATAAAAACAAGTAAGTATACAAAAAATTGGCGGGGTTTTATGAAACCATTGATACATAAGAAACTTTTTATTAAATGTTTATTAATCGTTTTAAACTTTCATGGTCATGTTATATACCATAACTATGTTACTATTACTTTAGTATATCATCATCATTTGCACATAAAGATCACATGATGTTTTTCTAATTAAACATGAGACCCTGTGACTCATCATATTTGCGTATTACATGGCCACCAAATGGGTTACCATGAATACTTAGAAACGATCATTAAAGCTCACATCGCTACCCATTTAAGATTTAGTGTCGCCGCACACGGGCCACACCGACCACAACCACAAAACGGCGCCACCGGCATATTTCTTGTAGTTTTCATACATTTTATATGGACTCGCCACACACGGTACGCCGGTGGCCGCCACACGCTACAATTCGTTGTTGCTCGCTTCTTGTGGCCCGCACCGGCCACTTAATGCGCCGATACAAAACGCCGCCACACGTCACTCGCGCGATTCCCCACCCCTCTCTGCCTTCCTTTAGTCGGCCGCTGTCGCGCGCTTCGGTTACTTTAGAAGCCGCTTCTAGCTTCTCGTGGTGGCGTTTGTGGCTGTGGCGTGTGGCCCGTGTGCGGCGACACTTAGAAACCATTAGAACACCAGATAATATACAGGTCATTTGATATCATACTATATTTCGTGGAATATTCGCAATTCGACAACACGTGTAGACAATCCTTTGTTTACACTTTGCTATAAAAGCCCAAACTCCTCGGGACCGACACATTCTACATCTGATCATCGCCTCAGGCACTCATCAATACGCTATTGTTTTCATATAACACCTTCTCTCCAAATACTCTAAGTGTAAGCCAAATTGGCATCATCATCATCAGCCTATTAATGTCCCCACTGCTTGGGCACAGCTCTCCCTATGGATGGAATAAGGAGATTGGGCTATGACCCACCACGCGGGCCCAGTGCGGATTGGTGGCTGCTAACGACTGCAGATGCAGCCGGGACCAACGGCTTAACGTGCCTCCCGAAGCACGAAGGAATTCGAGATAGTAAATTTTTGGTCACCCATCCAATGACCGACCACTGCGAAAATTGCTTAACAGATGGTAACCCTAAACGCAATAAAACTGATTTACGGTATTGTTACCATGTACCTTGTTTTAAGCGAGTCTCCGATATTTCGGCACTGTTGCAAGCGCCATGATCACGGAGTAACCAAAGTAATTGCGGGTAGGCTGTTATTGGCAGACATATCGGTCTACCCTCCGACGAAGTCTTTTTTTTGCGTTCGATACCCGTACCACTGTACCCCTAGCACGAACCAATATCGAATTCGTATCGTTTGCGAGTCCGAAATGTCATTGTCAAATGTGTAATGATTTTTAGTTCTCGTTACGTACTTTGTGCAGCTGTTGTTCAAGTTTCCATACAAAATTTGACATTGACATTTCGGTTTGCAAACTATTCGAATTCGATAATGGTTCGTGCTAGGGGTACTGTACCCTCAGTACGAGTTTTAATTACGAAAATTATGATAGTTTTCCTGATCTCGCACCGTACTGAGGGTCCTGATTTTATTGTTTTCGTTTCAATACATATAAACAGTGTTCAAATTCGATCATTAAATCATTTGTTTCTACTTAAATTTTAAGTATATTTAAACTCACCTTTCACCAAAACCACTTTTCACCAAAATGGACATAGAAAAATAATTTACAATTACGAAAACTATGATAGTTCACATTCTCACTATTCACTCGAAACTGTTCTTGACACACAACACTCCATAATATATCTACAGAATATTATCCATTAATTGTGATTGCCATAAAAAGAAGTGACCAACCTAATATCCAACTCGCCCCATCCGGTGACAGAAGCGTTACGAACATGTTCGCCGGTCAAGTCGGCAGTGCACAAATAGTAGGGGACACACTTGCACGCCTGCCCGTTCTTATCAACAAAGGTTGTAGTTGCGTCGGTCGGCTTCACTGTAACCTGAAAAATAAATAAATGACACATTATCATCAGTCTATTAATGATCCCACTGCTGGGACAAAGGCTTCCCTGTGAATGCAATAAGGTTGACAGACCATGATCAAAGTATCAATCATGTTTCAATTTAGGTAGTCATCATCATCAAGGCTTGTTTACCGGTTAATTTTCAAACCTAATAATAATAATAACTTTATTTATTTTTCTCCAACAATCTACATGTTACATCTTATAATTAAAAACAATATTAGGATATTTTATAAGATTGCGAGAGACTGGTACCTGAACTAAGCGAAAGCTTGTATCTCAGTGCACCAGTACCCTCCTCCTTGTAAGGTGACCGTTTTATCTTATCTTAATTTTCAAACCTAAATCAGTGTCAAGTACATTAGGAGCGTTTTATTTAGGTTAGGCTCTACTTTAACCTTAAAAAACCGGTTTCCTAAAGAGCGACATCAAATAGGTTTTGAATCAATTTAGCGGTTTTAAAAGGGTTTCATTTCGCTCTTACTGACGGCATCGATAAAAAATGAATAACTTGACTCACTAGACGCTAGCAAACGTGTCAATAAATGCATCAATCTCTGAGCATTAACAAGTTGTGGCTTGATTAGTTTAAACAAAACAAACCTCAAGCGATGCCGACGCGTGCACGTGTCGCTCTGGATTAAACCGGTTTATTGTGGTTTTAGGTACCGCTTTTATTTCGGACGCGCTCCGAACGAAACCTTTACTAAAAACCGGTATTAACCTTTATTTACCGGTATTTTCGAAACCGGTTTCAAGCCCAATCATCATATCAGCCTATTAATGTCCCCACTGGCCTTCCCTATGGATGGAATAGGGAGATTGTCCCATGACCCACCACGCGGGGCCAGTGCGGAATCGTGGGTGCCAACGACTGCAGGTGCAGCCGGGACCAACGGCTTAACGTGCCTTCCGAAGTAAGGAGGAGCTCGAGATAGTTAATTTTTGATCACCTATCCAAAAACCGACCACTGCGAAAGTTACTTAACTTCAACGATCGCAGCAGAACGCGCTAACCATCCGCGCCATCAAAGCTCCTCCATTTAGGTAGTAAATAATGTGAATGGTTAATTTCCTAATGACCCGTCAGGTTATTGCGTGATTAATTACAAACTGAACCTATAGAAAATTTTACTAGAGAAAATTCGGCCGGCAGGGCCGCGGTAGCGTGGATTTTTGAAGTGAAAAGTTCTTTAACCGCTTTTTTTTGTATGGGTAAAAAATGTTAAACTCGCGTCAGGTTAAACACGTGGGCTGATCGCATCATGACACACAATAAAATTGGAAAGGTTGTTGACTTTCAATATATTAGACGAAACATAGTAATATTTTATTTTATCGTATTCTATAAATAAGTCTATGTAGGACGTCCATGTGGCAGCTTTATTGCGAAGAAAATGCATTTTTACAATAGATGTCGTTGTCGCTAGGTGCGCTTAAATGTAATTCATGTAAGTTGATTTCTTTACAATAGATGTCGCCAAGTGCGCTTAAACGTGATTCATGTAAGTTGATTTTTCTGAGAGATAAACTTTTTTGAGGCAATAAAATTGTCATGTATGCGTACGATAGCGCAATAAATAAATATTGTATTCTACCACATAAATGATAGTACTTTTATACTGATAATTAAAGCAATTCGTGCAAAATCATTCCCTAACCATTCCAAAATATCAAAAATGCACAACGTTAATATTAAAGTTTTCACTTCTGCCGGCACTGTCCGGAGTGCAATCCGTCGTTTTTTTTTTTCTAGTAAAATTTTCTTTAGACTTGAACATCTAGCAGTGAAATGCTTATAAAATAAAACTAACTAGCAAACCAGTGAACCAAATGTTCACCAAAACCTGATTTAAAAAAAAATGTATTTTATTAATTGAGAACTTCGGATTTTGTGTGGTTTCGTTTGAAATTCGTGATTTCTCGAAAACCGGAAGTGCTACGTTACTCAAATCCTGTTTGTAGTCTTATCAGACTATTCTTAACTTATAACTTAAATATTCTCTTTATCTATCTCTTACGGTTTGGCCGCTGAAACAGCACCACAGACAGACAGACGGACGGACTTGTCTAATAGATAAGAGATTAGGTACACTCATTTCAGTCCACGAAGTCGTTCTTTAGCGAAAATCCAATAAATAGACTTCAGTTGACTTTTCGGAGACGAAAATCTGAGTTGATTTTATATCATCAACTAATTTAGATTTACTGGGTTTATGCTGTATTATTATTTACTAGCTGTGCCCCGCGGTGTTACCCGCGGTTTATTAGGGATATTTTCCCGCAGTAAAACGTAGCCTATGTGTTAATCCAGGGCATGGAGCACCCCCACTAGAGTCCGCATCACACAAATTTTGTTTGGAATCAAAATCGCCAAAGTCGGTGGGGTGCAGGGAGGTCAGCCCCGCTGTGATTGGACGCGTCAAGGTCAGATCATATACTCAGTGCAGCGAAGTGATGAGGGTAAGATCGATTTTAGAAAATATCGATATTTTCTATCGATAAACAATTTAGAACAGAGGCCTAGTACTTTGGTGCGCGAGTGTAAGCAAATGCGTAATCATACCCTCTCCACTTTCTTCCAGCGTTCTAATTACATGACGCGACTAGTAACTACATAGTAAATTATATATAAGCAACACAACAAAAAAAAACACGCCCAGGACAAGAAGTATTAATGCAACGATATTAACTACCCTAGATACAACAACACGAACAAAATCGTGGCCGAAACGTGTCCAAAAGGTACATTGGACGATCCACGGAGGTCCGTAAGATGATCGCGTGGTCAAAAACAATATAATGCCTTATTTAAACATTGAAAGTCACCTTTAATGCATACGGCATAAGGTCTTAATTAAAATGCATGCGTCAAGTTCGTAAAATTTTACGATTTATTGTTAAGTGTGAAAGAATATAGACCTTATTTTTTTTTGACTTTTCGCGCGCAATTCTGAATGCGCTGTTAGCAATATAGCAGGTACAGATCGCGAAGAAAAGAGATGGCTAAGGGCGACGTATAACCGACCATGCATTTGAATATCACAAATATTTTATATTAAATCAGTTTATAGTAAGTATTACAACAATAAAATTTGCTTTAAAGGCGTTAATTAAAAAACATTAATTAGCTACCCGTCACAAAAACGACACTTTACGTACTATTAGTATTTTTCTGTATTTTTTCACGGAACTCTTTGGCATCTTGACTTTTCAACGGTCAGCGATTGATTGGAGTTCAAGTACTTCTTGATGGGGACACATTTTGAGCGCTCGTGGTGTTTCTAGGGTATTTAATATCGTTAATTCTATGTCTTTATCTAGGTCATAAACTATGCGCACTTAATTTCATACAAATCCGTTTAACCGTTTTAGCGTGAAAGAATAACAAATATGCATACAAATTTTCGCATTTTTTCAATTTTATTAGGATAATAATATGTTTGAAGTCAAATAAAAACTGTTGGTTGTATACTCATGACATCTATTATTGTATACGATGAAATAAATAGTTTTTATTTATTTTTTCAATTTCCATAGCTGACTAACTTATCGATAAACTTACGCGTTGAGACATGAGCTGCGTCTGAGTCACTAGCAATACACGTGCCGGTGTGAAAGCGAGATAGCATATATGATGTACCCCATGCGAGAAAGGGATAGTGTAAAAAGACATCAACGCATTCACCAAAAAGTAAATACAATTAACACCAATTTAATATAACAGTATTTTTTTCTTTTTGTAATGCATTTAAACTAACCAGTGAAAAGTATTACCATTTTTTTTAAGACTGGAAGTTGTACTCGACTTTCCACACAATTTAATTGCACAGTGCGGCATTTTTTACAGTTTTTTAACACGAAAACGAGAGAAGCAGTTCGACCAACGCTCGGTTACCGAATGAAACGATGTATCGCGACGTCGGTAGGCGTGCCTCACGCATAGGTAAAATACTACTTAAGCTTGGCGTACGCGCTTGCCCTTGTATGCGGACTCTAGTGGGGGTGCTCCGTGATCCAGGGTGTCAGCTAACTCCTAACCAAAATTTATTATAATTGCTGCTGCCGTTTAGACGTGAAGAAGTAACAAACAAACACTCACAAACTTTCGCCTTTATAATTTTAGTGTGATTCATTTTATTACCGGTTTCAAAGAAATAATATATAATAGGTATAAATAAATATAATATATATTTCCAACACTCACACCAATTAGCCTAGCCTCAAAGTAAGCACTGAGTGCTTGTATTATGGGATACTACGGTAACGGATAGAATACATATATTGTACATATATAAGTATATTTATATAAAAAATACATATTAAACACCCATGACTGGAGTAGAAATACTCGTATTCATCACACAAACATCTGCCTCCAACGGGATTCGAACCCTGGACCTCTCGAGTCAGCGACACCATGAAACCCGGCGTACAAACCTCTCGGCAACGGAGATCGTCAAAACTGTTTATAATGATCAGACGCATCTTAAAACTACAGAGATTTGATATTTTGCGGAGTACGCCTGCACGGGATTAAATTTGATATGGGAATTAATTACTTTTTTAGATTTACCTATAAAGAAATAATCTTTAAACTGTACTTCAAAAAAGGTTTAAATACGCTAGATTATAATAATACAGAAACTCTATTTAAAATAATAAGATAAATATGATGATCAAGCAAGAAGAAAGGAAATAACTGCTTCTCTCTCTCTTCATCACTCATTTACCAGTCACCAGTTTATATAAATATATAATATATTTTCAACACACCCCAAAATTAGCCTAGCTTGTGTTATGGGATACTAGGGTAACGGATAGAATACATACACTGTACCTATATAAGTATATTTATATAGAAATACATATTAAACATCCATGACTGGAGTACAAATGCTCGTTGCTCGTATTCATCAAACAAACATCTGCCCCCAGGGATTCGAACCCGAGGCCTCTCGAGTAGGCGACACCATGAAACCCGGTGTACAAACCACTCGGTCACGGAGGTCGTCAGTTATTATTTGTTATTTAAATCAAAACAATTTCTAAACACGTAAACATTGGCGTCGATTCTGGCGTGATTCTCTAAACTTAAAACTAATTTTAACATCAGTTTTTTCTTTTTCTTTCTGTGTAGAATTCTCTTTGAATGACAAGGATGCACTGTTGTCAAATTTAAGTTTAACTTTAGAGAATCGTGCCAGAATCGACATCATTGTTTGCATTTTAATTAACAAACTCATTCGCCCAAAAAATTAGGTCTTCTATGAATAAAAAAACATTAAATGCTTACCGTCTCCAAGCCTGACGGTGTTGTGGGCGGTTTCCCGAATATGTTCTCTAAATCTTTAGGATCGAGAGTGACTTGCGCAAGCGCACCCGCCAGCAAAAAAGTCAAGATAAACAGGAGCATTCTGTAAGAAAAGACAAATAAACACATATCAGGGACAAAAATATGAATAATTCAGCTAGTTTACGGTAGTTAGGGTCAAATAAATAAACTCAAAATTACAAAAAAGAATTTTAAATAAAGTACTTTATTAACTAAAGTAACTAATAAATTCATACATGGACAATAGAATTTTAAAAATCTTCTAATGAAATAACCGAACGCTCAATAAAAGTCTTTCGAAGGTAGCTTGACAAAATTAAATAAAAAAACAGTATTCTGACGATGCAGACCTGAAAAGGATGCGAAACGTCAATAAATAAATAAAGTTTCGTGCATTAACCCGTTAAAAACTAGTTTAATTTAATGAGTGATGTGCGTGAAAACCTAAGAAACAAATATGAATAATTCTATTTTGATTTTCCCATTGGCCCCTTATCCCGTGCATTAATCTGTGCGTATTTGGGGACAACAGGAATTCACCAATTATGAAAGTAATTTTAATAAAAAAAATATCAACGTTGGTTTTGTAGCCAGAATAAAAGCTAAGTAGAACTGGATGCCTACAATATTTTGGTCTTTTTTTAATATTTGATTAAACTTTATTCCAATATGTAAGTACTTCTTATCCAAAGTTATGAAATGAAATGAAATGAAAGTTTATTTACATGAAACAAAGTTCATTATAGCTGGTAAATCTTATATATAAAATTCTCGTGTCGCGGTGTTTGTGGTTAAACTCCTCCGAAACGGCTCGACCGATTTTCGTGAAATTTTATATGCATATTCAGTAGGTCTGAGAATCGGATATAATCTATTTTTCATCCCCCTAAATCTTAAGGGTAATCCACCCCTAAATTTTTTTTTTTTCAATTTTAGAATTTTTTATTTTTTTATGATACATCATACAAAAATACATACAACCCTAAATTTTCACCCTTCTGCCACCAACCCCTATTTTTTTATGGCGGTACGAAGTTCGCTGGGACAGCTAGTAATATAAAAAGTTCCAAATGTTTCGCCCTTGAAAGAGCATACAAAATACTAATAAATTATCTAAAAATTCAAATTTAAATTGAGTAATAGTTGCATTCCAAATGTCATAATAACTATATTATTATATTACACATAATAATCATACAAGACATGTCATTTTTTTTAAGTCAATAGCTATTTCTTCATTATGTCAACAAAATTACAATTATTAATTCATAATAAAAAATCATTTGTACTATAAAAACATTTACTTATTAACCAGTCCCGTAACTTTTTTGCCATTAATTTTATAGGTCCGTGCTTGAATTGATTTGGAATTCTATTTTATACCTTAATACACATGTTATAAGAGCTTTTCTGGTACACCGAGGTTTTTGGTGCAAAGTCCAAAACAAATCTATCACCATCTCTAGTGTTTCGGGGGTATATATATATATCTTTGGCCTTATGAAATAACCCCGGATTTTGGCTGACAAATTTAAATATTTCTAATATATACTTAGCAGGGACTGTGAGTAAACCTAAACTTACAAAAAGTGGTCGACAACTATCAAAGGGACCTTTACCACATATAGCTCTCGCGAATTTCTTTTGGGCAATGAAAACTCTTTGAATGTCTGTACTATTACCCCACAAAAGAATCCCGTAATTTATAATAGACGCTACATAACCGTGGTAAGCAGACAGGGTCACTTTCAGAGACGTTTTTTTAGACAAATTCCTTAGTACATAGACAAATCTATTAATTTTAGTACATACCTTAACATGACCAGTAAAATTTAGGCTTTTGTTCAATACAATTCCCAGGAATGTGACTCTGTGAGCCTTTTTAATAGTCAAATCGTGATATTTTATGTTAACTGACCACTTGAGCGGCCTTTTACATTAAAATTTACATAGTTAGTCTTACTAAAATTTACGTGAAGATTATTTGCATCAAGATATTTAATTATGTCAAAAATTGTTATATCATTTTTGTCCTTATAACTTATTTCCTTTGCTAGCTTGTGTATGTTGTTATGTAGAAAGGTCAAAGTGTGAATTTGTAACGTCTTGGTTATTAGGTGACTGAATATCAAACGACATTGATAATGTTATCTGAGCTTCTCAGCTGTCTCGCAATCGTATTTCATTTCATCCGGCTACGGCAAAGCTAAAAGGAAGTTTATTGATTTTTGCAATATGTTATTTCAACATCTTGATTTGTATATTCCATTTAGGTATTTTATTATCATCTGGCAAAATTAATGTCATATTGCAATTCCCTCTCCAAGAATAGATATATATATGGTTTTCCTCAAATATCATAATTATAGTAATCAATTTAGTGTTAACATAGTATCTACATAGTATACAAGTATTCCATCTAACGCCAACAGAATTACTTTAAACAAGTTTTCTCGGCCTTGCCATTTGCAAAAGGTAAGAATGCGTGTGCCAGTGCAAGAATTCTGGTTAAAAATGATCTTTAACAGGACTTCCTTCATTCTTCACCAATATCCCTATTCCATCGGTAGTGGATGCCTGTGCCAGTGCAAAAGTTCTGGTTGAAAATGATCTAAATATCAATGAAGGAAGGCAAAATAAAATGTAAACAGAATTGTACCTTTCCTGTAAAAATAAATAAATAAATAATAAAAAAAATATTGCACTATTTTTCTCCGTATAAAACCTCAATGCTTCATATTGATATCAATGCTTGGCATAAAACATATAATGGATATGTCACCAAAAACATTTTCATGAAATATTTCCAAGATGACCATATGACTTGAACTGTCAAAAAGTTATCATATCTCACATTCTAACTCTATAAGGCCTAACTTCACAAACTCTGCACTTTAGTCAAAAATATGACGCTTGTCCATTTCGCTACATTCAAATGGGCGTAAAGTGATAATTTTCTCAACTCTTCATTACTTTTCTGTTATACTATAGTTCTTGTAGCAACGAAATGACCAAGCCACATACTACCCGCAGATACTCACTGCCTTGCCGAAAAAAATACAAAAAAAAATTTTTTTCTCTAATCGGTACGTACCGAATTTCAATCTTGACCCCAACCGACTTCCGATTGCGTGTGAAAGAATATTATTTTAATGTTTACTTCTATTTTCGTTTAATAGCTTTTTCTTTGTTCTCAGTTTAAAAATATTTTTCATTTCATCCATTTTAATGTGAAGCCTACACATAAAAACTGCTAAAACCAGCCGTACACAGAAACTTACATCGTCTAAGTAAACAAAAATGCTCATAAAATATCCATGCACAACCGGTATCCTGTATTCAGCGAGAAGTAAGGACCTGACGCACTCTATCATTCTCATTCGTTCCAATCCAACCTGGGAAACAGCATGACAACAGAAGACCACACTAAAATAACGCTACCACGTTTCTGCTGGTGACTAGAATTCCGTACCCTTAGTACGAGTTTGAGCTCACGAAAACTATCATAGATTTCTTAATTGTAAATTATGTTTCTATATCCATTTTGGTGAAAAGTAACCAAATATTCTTAAAATTTAAGAAGACGCAAACGATTTAATGATAGAATTTAAACACTGTTTATTTGTATTGAAACGAAAACAATAAAATCAGTACCCTTAGTACGAGTGCGAGCTCACGAAAACTTTTATAGTTTTTGTTATTGTAAAACTCGTACTAAGGGTACTGGGCTCCGCGGGGTAAGCCTCAGGGAATTGGGTTCAGGCCGGGTAGGTGAGGATGGTTGGAGCGGCACATTTTCTGCCGCATCATCTATCTTCGCGTCTGGACTCCACTAATTCGGGGGATTCAGGTGGGGCGGGGTGATTTTTTTTTTGGCAGGGGTCTGCGCCCCGTATATAAAAAATGTATACTCGAATGGAATTTTCTGTGAAGCCCCTCCTTTTTTGGTGTTTTCGCTCAAATGACGTACCAAAGATCACAGCGCGCTTAAGCGTATTGAAATGTCACAGTCTGGTTTTCCTTGTTATGTAAAAAAACCACCAATGCTTTATCAATAAATAGTTGCGTAAGAGTTGATATTCGAGTTTACATACGATCTTGCTAGGGTTGCCGGTAGCGCTTAGGGAGCTTTTATGTGTGTATGCTGTTGGTAGCTGATGACTTTTACAGCGTCATCGGGTTTGGGGACGACGAGATCCTAAAGGGACCTGATGCTGAGCATTGGCAAGTGCCTCCAAAGGTATTCCCGGCGGATGACATCTCCCCACGGGGGGAGCCTCCTCTCCGACTTTTTTTTAATTGATAGGTCCGACAAATCACTCCACTCCACCTGATGTTAAGTGAAGGTGAAGTCCAGACGCGAAGATAGCTGATACATCAGTTCTACCTGCTACACCAGCCATCCTCACCCTGCCGGCCTGCATGTTGCTTCTTCACGCCTCTTTTAAAGGATCCCAGGTTGTAAAAGGGAGGGAACACGTAAGCGGGCAGAGCATTCCATTTGCGGATAGTGCGACAAAGAAATGAGTCACCAAATTTCTTTGTACGCGTTGGAATTGTGGCCACAGTTAGACGGTGACAACGTAGGCCAGCGCGCGTGGTCCTCGGAAAGAAAGGGGAAGGTGGGATAAGAGACAATAACTCCTCAGAACACTCGCCGTGGTATAGACGATAGAACGCGCTCAGTGACGCCACGTTACGGCGTAATTGAATAGGCTCAAGGTGTTTAGTCACCACCTCATCGCCTATGATGCGGATCGCGCGCCGCTGTAACCTATCCAAAGCAAGACTACTACTACTACTGGAGCTAGACTACTCGAACCTGAGGGGGTCGGCTCAACTAGAGAGCGTCCCTGAGACTCGGACCTCCGTCTTAGTTAGCCATTGTCGGGCACTTATTTTCTTTCCCTTCTCTACATACAGACACTATTAAATAGTCTCCCAGAACAGTCCTCGGCTGTTCGAGGGACTTTTTGTACGCGATACTTTTAATCCGTCGTGTGCGTTACTTTATCCGTTATCAGTTTTAAGATCTATTTTGCCGGACAAAAAAATCCGCAAACAATTGTCCCTCGTCTGCTTAAGTGATGGTGACTGTCGTGGAAGTCGTTTGTTGTGTCGTTTGTAAGAGGAAAAAAAGTTTTGCCACAGTGCAGATTATATTTATGACTATTAACATACCAGTCTGTTCAGAAACTTAATTTATATGTAGCTTATTCTAACATTAACATTAGTTCATTAATTTCTAAATACACTAGCTGAGCTGATCGGATCCGCCCGGCGACAAAGTCAAAGTCAAAATTTCTTTATTCATTTAGATACAATTTGCACGCTTATGAAAGTCAAATTTGATGTCTGAGAAGAACCGGCAAGAAACTCAGCAAGTTATGTCCTCCTTTAAATTTTCTATTTTTATTTATTTGGAAAGAGTCATAATCCACATCAGGTCTTTAATAATTTTATTAATTTTAAAAGTATAAATAAATAAAAGACCAGTAGTTACTACGAAATAAGAAAAGATGTGACAAATTGACAACCCTACATACAATGGCATTGGGGCATTACACTATGTGTCAGAGATATAAAAAATTAACCTTAGCCCGGTGTTTATATACACGCGGCGGAGAAGGGAAAAAAGAAGTCTAGGCAGACCATATCACTTGCTTTAGACTGTTGGAAGATGCTCGTGAGACCTACTGGTTAGATAAAGTTTATTGTAATCTGTCCCTTTTTGTTACCCCACATACTTTGGTATATTTTTCCAAACAAAAAGTGGACGTTAAATTTTTGACCTTTTTAAGTATTTAACTGCTAGATGTTTAAATCTAAAGAAAATTTTAGTAGAAAAAATAAAAATGTGTATATAACTATAATGGCTATTTCTTCTTTAAAATGTTTAATACTATTAAAGGTATTTATTTGACATTGTGGGTTACCTACAATGCGAAGAGATGGCGCTACCTTGCAGCCTTAGGCTAGAGAAAATTCGACAAGGCCGTCAGGACACGGTAGCATAATGGTCAGTGCATTCGCCAGGTAGCGAAGGGTGCGCGTTCGAGTCCCGTCTGCAGCAAGCAAGAAAATTTTACAAGAAAAATATCCACGCGTACTAGCCGCTTTGACATTTTTCTTGTAAAATTTTCTTTAGAATTAAAAAGTGGACGTTTTCATGTGTAGCATTCATTGGTTTACCTAAGTAGTTGTTCCACTGGGAATTTATCTGCTTACATCATATTTTCCGTTCCCGGGAATATGAACAATTTACTGGAAATATTCCCGAGTAATTCCCAATGTCCCTCCCTCAACGTTGCCGGGAAAATACCCAATCTCCCGTGAAAATGTGTAATACTGGCAAAAAATTATAACGACCTAATTACTGGTAATTTTAAATTCGACCAGAGGCTTATCCAATAACCGTAACTGATCAACTGTGCTTGTTGTACAAAACGCAAGTGCGGTCCTGCGTGGAATATAGCTCGCACCTCTGGGATAACTCCGCTAAGTACTTACTCGATGTCTTGCATAGGTTGCGCGCATCATTGGCGATGAAGAGGTTACTAAGAAACTCGAGCCTTTACAATCACGTCGCGATGTGGCATCATTAAGCGCATTCTACCGACTATACCACGGCGAGTGTTCTGAGGAGTTATTCTCCCTTATCCCTCCATCACCTTTTCTTCAGAGGACCACGCGCGCTGGCGTTGACGTTGCCACCGACTTACTGTGGCCACTATTCCTACACGAACAAAGAAATTTGGTGACTCATTTCTTTGTCGTACTATTCGTAAGTGGAATTCTTTGCCCGCGCACGTGTACCCCCTTCCTACAATCTGGGGTCCTTTAAGAGCAATTTGATAAAAAATAAAGAATTGATAAAAAATGAAGAAGCATTTTTGCAGGCCGGCAAGGTGAGGATGGTTGATTTGGCAGTTTATAACTGTTGTACCAGCTATCTTCGGGTTTGGACTTTATCACCATGTAACAAAGTTGTACAAGCTGATTTAAAAAAAAATGTGAATGTAGTTCTAGTTATAATTAAAAATAAAATGATGTCTTTTTTCAGTAAAATATCCTATCTTCAATATTTAGTATTTCTTCCTCTTTTATGTGTTCCGTGTGTTTTTACCCGGCTGCGCAATGCAAGAGCGCGAAGCGCGACGCGCAGACAGGGTTATGTGTTTTTACCCGGCTGCGCAATGCAAGAGCGCGAAGCGCGACGCGCAGACAGGGTTATGTGTTTGACAGTCTATATATGTATGTTTGTTCCTTTGTGGCACACCAGAGACCAAACGCCTGGACCGATTTTGATGATTCATACATCAATCGATTCGTCTCAATCATGGGAGTGCTACTAAAGATATGGTAGTAATCAAAATTCAATATGGGCAACATTAGGCACCATATTGTGGCGAAGTAAAAAAAATAAATTGGCAAAATATATCGAGTGGGGTATCACTGTCTAGATAATCAAAAATCATATTTAGGTTTCTAACACCATTTTTCATTTTATATGATTGTTTAGGATCTACAACGCTTTAAAGTTGTATATTAACCACTTACGCTTTTAATTTCAATCTTACGTTTGTATGGATTTTTGTTACTCTTTCACCTAAAAAATACTGAATGGACTTTAATGAAACTTAACAGTAATATAGCTCATATATGATAATTACATATATATAATAATTTATGTAGTTATTGAGTGAATTGGCCAATATATAACAATAAGTGTCACATAAGAAGGAAAAAAATCTCCCATCTGCGAGCCATTTTGGCCTGCACTACAAAAACAATAAAAGTTACATGAATGTAATGTAGAGTAAAAATGTATCTCTTAAATAGTTCTAAAAAAAAGTCCCTGACACCATATATCTATTTTTAATGTGTAAGTCATTACCGCTAAAATAGCGAATCAAAACTAAAATATTATTTGATATCTATTTCCAAAATGCACATTTTGTATTAACAAATCATGTTTTATCCAAACAAATACTTTTATCGCTTTTGATATTTAAAGACGATAAACTTTGCTTTTTACACTATGTCATTTCGACAAATATTTAAAAAGTTACAACGATGACAAAGTGATAGCGCGGTGTACTATGTAAAAGAAAAAAAAATGGGGTATTCGCAGTATCTGATCCTATACGAAGTACTAACAATAAAACTGTGATACAGTTCCTTCTTATTAAATGATGAAAAATATATTATCATAATAGGTATTTATGATTATTGAATTTTAATGAAAAACTCAGAATTTTACCGTTTTTCATTTTTTTAACGATATTACTTAATGTTACAAAAAAGGTTTACTTAATATAATGACAAGTAACCCATTTTTCGCTAGTAAGTACATACTTATTGGAATCCCTGTATTTATTAATCAGCTCGCGATAATATTGGTTTTGTAATAATTCTGCAAAATTCAAAGTAAATAATGTAGATTTTTATAGGTAAATCACCCCTTTCATCACCCTACGCCTATAAGTATTGCGATGTTGTAGCTAAGAACCAAGTTCCCATCTACTTCTATATGGGAATTCATTATATTCGATTTAGCTATTAGGGCACGGAAGCGCAACAAACAAATTCACTTTCGCATGTATAATATTATATTATAATTACTAGTGATCCACCCGGGCATTGTACGGGCGAAATTTATTTATCGGGATAAAATATAGCCTATGTCACTCGGACAAAATGTATTTAAATAAAGAAAAATGTTATAATAAATAACGTAGCAACCTTATGATGAATTAATATTTGAAACCGGTTCAGTAGTTTGACAGATTATTTGTTACAAGCATACAAATCTTGCTTCTTTATAATATTAGTATAGATAGTTAGGATAAGATAAGTATTTAATTGATGAAAAAGATTTAAAAATTAAGTAAGTAATAGGTTTATTTGATTATATTTGTAAAAGTTACTTAGCATTTGTGCTTAACAGTGATACGTTATTCGGTATTTTTTAAACAAAAAAAAATTGGAAAATAATTGCCATGATTGCACTACTGGGAATACTCTTCATTCGAGCTTTACACTACCAATAAAAAGGGTCGAACACAAAGTCTTTGACCTGTTAAATGTGAACGCTTTAAAAAAAAACTACAAAGAGAACTATAAATTGATAATAAATGAGATTGCTATGGTGCTCTACCTAACTTTATGAAAATTTTATTATGCGCCTTTAGTTTAATCAAATATTATAAACTTTGCTTTGGTGATTGCATAATTATTTAGTTTAGTGATCTAAGGCAATCGCCACCATTGTCCAAAACAACAGACGGGAATTACTGCTTTCTTCAACCTGCGACATAAACGTCATTGATTGGTATTGTATATAGGGTGATTAAAAACATTTGAAGTTAACTTCTGGCATCTACATATTGGGTTTCTGTGAATTATGTAGGTTTATCAAATTATGAGACTAGGGACTGACACTGAATTTGTGTATATCACAATCTTAGACGCCCGGCATTGACATGACAATGCAGCCACTGCCAATTTTAAATAGTCGACGAATAAAAGTAAATGAATTTTATATTTACTGCTAAATTATTAAAAAAAAAACAGAAACAAAAGATGACATTTTGAGTAAGTGCTAGTTTACTATAAAACTAACATACTTACATAAGAGATATTTTTGTAACGACTTGATTTAACTGCGAAAATTGAGGCCCATCTGTAGCCTTGACCCCGCTGGTAAAGTCTTTATATGTCTTAATAAATCAATCTTTTAGGCCGACGCCAGGTACTTAATAATTCCCGCGATATTAATTCCCATACTGAAGTAACAAGACTACGGTATATACCGTCTTAAAATACTAACTAACTAAAAAGTGTGAAATAAAAAAGGTAAATTTAAAAAATCAAAAAACCCGACTGCTTAATTATACTTCAAATAAAAACTGAAAAGAAAAAAACAAGTCCAGTAGTCTATAATTCTGTCAATAAGGAACAAAGCTACTTTAACAGTCGGGACCCACTGTTGAAAAATATTATGTATTCTTGAATATCTAATGGTTCCCGACTGTTAAAGTAGCTTTGTTCCTTATTGACAGAATTATAGACTACTGGACTTGTTTTTTTCTTTTCAGTTTTTATTTGAAGTATAATTAAGCAGTCGGGTTTTTTGATTTTTTAAATTTACCTTTTTTTTCTGGGTACATTTATAAGTTACTAGTGCCCGCCCGGGCTCGCTTCGCTTCGTTGTAGAGCTGTAGTGTAGACTAAAATGACTCTTCATGTAGGTAATTATAAAAAAAAACTGAAAATGGTATATTTGCCTTTTCCAAACTTCTGTTGACATTACGTCGCTCAATTGTTTTGCCTTCCCGGAACCTCTCCACTAACATTGAAATTTATGGTATGGTATTAAAGTTCAAATTGACTTTTAAGTATTATTACAAATCGTTTGTAAGGGAGTATAGAAAAGTGTTGTTTTTGGACTTTTTCCGGCAATTTTTTTATTTTTTCTCTGCGTAAAAACCATCCTCGTACTTCAAGGAATATTCTAAAAAAAAATTATCGAAATCGGTTCAGCTGTTCTCGAGATTTGCGTTTAGAAACACATTCAGCGATCCATTTTTTTATTATAACTAACGTACTTGTCCCACAGGCCTTAAGTATGTACAAAAGTGACTTCAATCAATCCCTTTTTGTTTTAATCTTAGCTGTAAAGGCATAAATTGAAACTTAATTTTGATAGATTTCACATTGATTCATTAATATCCTCAAGAACTAGGAACTAGAACTCAACTTATGTTTGGCCGTTTGGTAATTTACCCTAATGTCTGTGCTAAGCTAAGGCTAATAACACAATTCCCTCGCCGTACAAAATTACCAACCAAATCGAATAAGCTGTAACTACCTCTCTGGTATAAAATTTCGCGTTTGTTAAAAAAAGATTTCCTGTTTTAGATACTTAATTAATTTGATGCATCATCATTTCATTGTTGGGGAACGGAATACGGAAAAAAAATCGAAGGACTTCTTTCTCTTCACTACATAGTTTAAAGCAAAGTCGCTTCCCGCTGTCTGTCCCTACGTCCCTATGTATGCTTAGATCTTTAAAACTACGCAACGGATTTTGATGAGGTTTTTTTCAATAGATAGAGTGATTCAAGAGGAAGTTTTATATGTATAATACATGCATAATATAGTACAGAAACACTGATAATTTTATAGGTTTTTAATGTAAGGTCGTAAATACACTCATTTTTTGCGCTTACATTGCAAACGCTGGCTGAACCCTACGAGATAGATCAAAATAATGTACTTCTGTATTGTACACCTTAAAAAGGCCTACAAAAAGGTCCGCGATGGTATATGTCTATCTCTTAGGGATAACCCACAATAACCATTTTTTATCCTATACTTTTTACGAGAAATAATTGATTATTTACGAAGCGATTTTCAGCAATATAACATTCATCCTTATCCAATTATGTACCTTAAGTACATTGTGCATTTAATATAGACCAATTTGGCCCTATAACGCATGTAATATAAATTAATATTTTCGAAGATATTACAGATTTAAAATGCAGGGACATAGCGGTTCCGACCCTACCGGGCAGGGGGGCCTGGCGGCGCGTGCCTATTGTAATTAGGTATTAGAAGAATGTCATTGTGTATAATACAAGCCTGAGAACAAAAACTATAGTGTACACTACA